AAACCTTTTATAAAGAATAATTACTCATTTCAAATATTTATTCCTTTCCCTTTTCTGAAAATTTTTTTAGTTGGTGAACTATCTTTAAATTTGATGGTATTGTTTATAGAGAATTTTAGAATTTAAATCTCATATGTATTAACTTTAATTATAATGAAGCATATTCGAACCAGAACTATCGCAAAAAAGTTCAGAAAGACTTTGGTAATTCCCCCTTAAAATTCTACACAAGAAACTAACTCAGCATCAAAATTTAAACAGAAATTCACAACCATTTAAACATCCATCATAATTTCCTTGATATCAAGGGCATTCTCCTGAAAGTATTGATGACCCAGATAAATTTTAAAAAAATAAAACTGCAGTTAAGAATTTAAAAACATATATTGAGGAATTTAAATACTTTAGTTAATCTAAAAGTTTAGACCTTTAAAAGTAATGGTTTAAGTACAGAAATTAATTGATAATTCGATGTCAAGATTTCCCTTTAAATGTTTACATATAATATGCAATCTAATATTAAATGATGGCATATTCAAATTGATTGATTCTGATAGTCGGAAAAATATGAACTTATCAGAGAGTTATTTCACCAACATATTAATAGAGCATATCAAATGATGGGAGAATTTAAGGCTTCATTGTAATGGTTAGATAGAAAGGTTGATATTATATAAACAAAGCTTCTGTGGTTATTTAAAATAAGAAATTTATTAAATTAGTTATTTAATGAGTAAGGAGAATTTTGAAAGGTGATTAATGATAAATAATATTGTTTTAATAAAAAAAACATTGCCAATTTTTGTATTTCTTAATTTTCAAATTCACAAGCAGAATCCCATCTCATACCCCTATAATAATAATGTTTTTATAAAATTAATTTAATAATGTAATAAGGATATATTAATGCAGAAATGAGTGATTTCATAATCTAGCATTCAACTTTCATTAATATTTAACCAAATTTTGATTTAGAAAAGCTACAATTCATTTCTGTAATATCGAAAATGATTAATTAAGGGAAATTTTGGACCATTTAAAATTAATTAAATTGTAGAGGTTCCATTATGGGTAGCAATTGAATTAAAGAAAAAAAATAAATGTAGAGTTATCCCTCCTGAATGGTTAAATATCGAAAGGTTGCAATAAAAACTTGATGAGGAAACAATAAATGAGTTAGAATTGGCAAAAATGGAGCAATATTATTTTGAAATTTCATAAATTTTATTTTCTTATTGCAGAGATGATATTAAGGATGATGATAAAATTAAATTATTGTTAGAAGATATCAAGACAAGAAGAGAAAGTAAAATTCAGAAGAAAATTAAAGAATTTATTGAAAGAGGATCTGATGCCTTAAAAATAAATAATTTGAATCAACACGAGAGAAATAAAATTTACTCTTAATTTTATGGAGATTTAAAAAAATTGAGGTAATTGAAATTACTAGCAGAGAGTTGAGAATATTTATATTAAATTTATTGAAAATTAAATGATTCATTCCTTAAAACCAAAGAAGAGATGCTAATAGATTTGTTATGAACATCAGTTCATACTAACTCCAAAATCTAATGAATGTTGGATAAAGTCATAAATCACCTTAGATTATTGTCCTGTTTATAATGAGTACTTATATCACATTACAAAAGATTTACTGGATAGTTTGAAAACATAGTTCCTATTCTGAATTGTGATAGATAGCCTGGACTTCCTACATTCATCCTAGAATATGATAGAACTCAATATTAATTCAATCTAGAGCGATATTAGTAAGAACATCAATTGAAAATTGAAGAATAGAGAGTCAAGAAGACTAAAATGGTATTTAATTTATTTTCATATTTAAGTTAGTTCCAAAGCCAGGCAAAAAACATAGGTATTGTGGAGTCTGTAAAAAAAATTACGAAGAATATTTAGATGTATGTTGACTTTTTATTGTAGTTTAGCATATCCAATCCTAGGAGCATATAAATACTTTTAATACCTATAGAAGTGTAAATTTGATTAGAACTTTAATTCAAGGATTTTAGAATGTTATTAATCATGAATTCTCAGATTAAAAATAATCCAGCATTTTGTTCTGCGATTCAAATACCAAAATTCCAATGAATAAAGAAAACTTTGTAGCCTACTTTGATTAAGAAAGAATTGGAGTGCGATTTTAAAAATAATAGATCAAAGACATTCCAATGCTTGAATATAAAATTCCAAGTTCAAAAAGAGGAAGGCCTCCAAAATCTAAATAGAAAAAGGAAATAATAAAAAAAGCAAAAGTTTAAGAAGATATCCCAATTATTCCACATTATCAACCTAATACTTATTTAGACTTTTATTATTTATAATAATAGTATATGTAAGCTTAATAACAAATGTAAAATTAACAATAATAATAATACTTATGCTACCCTTAACCTCAACAATAATACTTTAGAGACTGTATATATTATTTTTATTTTTCTAGAGATGTAATATTTTAATTAAAATGCCTAATTAGATTTATAGTTTTATCAAAGCTTAATGTAATAGTAATAGCATTTTTTATAATTGAAAGAAATAGAAGAGCGTAGAGAATATTCAGATAGATCCTCATTATGGTAAAAGTTGATATAATTAACAAATTACTAACAGCCAACTTAAAATGAAATAGTTTAACTTTTGCATAGCATAATAGAGTAATACGAATGTAATCCTCGCAACAATCAAAACCTAAATCATAATAATAATGATTAGCAATTTTAATGATTTTATTAATTTTAATTGTTTTGTATTTCATTTTATTCAATTTCAAATTATATTAATTGATAATTCAAACAAGAAATTTTTATAAAATATATCCTTATAACTTATTTTAAATTCAACAAAATAATTTTTCTGGTTATTTAAAATAAAGAATAAAGCTTATTATTAAAAATATTTAAGTTTTACTATTAATGAAAAGTTTCATATTTATCTTTATAATTATAAAAAATTATTATGTAGAAAACATAATTGATGAATTTTTTGTAAAATGGATCAAATTATTATCCTTTTGGCGATAAGCCTGATAATAGTAACTCACCTGAGGGAAAGTTTAAGCCATACATTTGTGAAAGAAATTAAGTCGGAAAACTTGTTAACACCGAAAGTTATACCTTAGCATCAAATAGAAAAAATAAAAAACTAAGAACCAGTGAGTAAATAAATCAATATGAAGTCAATGAATTAATAACATATAAATTTCGTACTGAATTAGAATCTCCTAAATATGACCCAAACACAAAATATGTCACTTTATTACCAACCAGCTTTAAGACTGAAGATTTTTAAAAGCCATTAGATATAAAATCCTATACTCTTAATCATAATTAAGTAGAAAGAGGTCAATAAATGAAAAAGCAGTTGAAAGGGCTAAATCATAAACATTAATTAATTAGTAGAAGTACAAAAAATTTGACTTCTTAGATTCCAGCAATAGGAATTTATGATCCCTTACCTTTAAATAAGCATTTACCAAATATTTAGATTAAATCTAAATCAATTTAGAAATTGCCAGAAGTTTGGGAAAGGCCCGATTCAGTCGCAACTCCAAAATAAAGTTAAAAAAATTGCGTTTCAGAAATGATGTTTGCAAAATAAATTGCTCAAATAAATAGAGAAGTAGAACAAGAAATGAAAAGAAATCCTAATCAAAAATTTGCAGTCTAGCAATTCGATATAAGTGAAAATATGAATTTGGAAGAAGCTGAACATATGAGAAATAGAATGAAATTATATTTTCAAAGTGTTAAAGACAGCTTGACAAAAATAAAAAATTTAATTAATGTGAAAAGATGAGAACTTCAATAATTGTTATATTTCTATCTCAATATATTTTTTTTATTTAAATCAAATAATGTATTAATAAATAATCTAATAATCCAAATAAGGTTATTTTTATTAAGTATTAATTTTTACTAAAAATAAAGAATTATAATCGAGTATGAATCAATATTTAGCTAAGTGTTACTTTAATTTAGGAGCATTTAAAGTGTAACTCATGAGCTTATTTTCTATACCTGCATCTTCTAATTAAGTCATTCCTTACAAATCTGTTTAGTTATCAGATTATCTGAAATGATTTTGAATTTCTTTAACTTTTAATGATTTGTTTTTTTTATTAATTTAATTTCGCTAGCTCTTGATATGTGAAATTTTTACTTAGATTTTTTATCTTTTTATAATCTTTCTTCAAGTTCCTCCAAATCTTAAAAGTCTTCTTACTATAATTACATAATCTAACTATTGTTATGAAATGATTGCTGTTATTAAGTGATTAATTGTTATTATAGATGAGAAGACATGTGTCTTTCATGAAATGATTTTGAAGATTATTACTAAATCAAGGAGCCTTTAGAATCTTAATGCAAACTAATAATTCCTCTATCTTATAATTTGCTTAATAATTTTGAAGATCCTATTCGAATATTATTTTGAGAAAATTAAGAGTTTTAATAGTTTAAAAGAATCGAAGATTATTAACTATTAAGATATGAAGATGAAAAACTATTTCCGCTATTGCTTTTATTGACACATTATTCTGATTAATGGCGACTTCTATTTCGATTGTTGCTGATCGCTTTTTATAGATTATTAATATCAGATCTAATTATTTATAAAATCATAATCAATACCTTTATGATTGTATGTAGTCGACATTTTTAAATTTATCATCCTGTCTTGATGATCTAGCTGGTTGTCTTGTTTCTTATTAAGTCTATTCTCCTGAAATTTTAGTAGTTCCTTAAGAATATTCTGTCCAATCAAGTCTTTTATCATTTTTAAATCCATTTGTTATTGAAATTTATTCAAATAAAGAATGTAAATATCTATAGTCAGGAGTTGATTTATATTGCAATTATTTAACATATTGAAAATATCTAATTTATAAATACATTTACAAATAAAATTCTTAAGGACAATCAATACAAAGTTCCTCAATTTAAGTTTATTGTTTAATCTATCCAACTATTTTAGTTTTTTCCTTCTCAGCTACATTATGATAAGTTTACCAAGGTAGAGTCCCTTTGTACATGTATATTATCATATATCCAATTGATTCTAAATCATCTTTTCTGCTTAATTCATAACCCTTATGTGCTCCTATACTTGCATATCGAGTTGTACCAACAAATGATTTATTGTCTTTGAATGGCCTAATGTTAATCAATATAAAATATGATAATTTACACATGCGTTCCATCAGGATCTCTATAAAATTTAGCAATTCCAAAATCTGCTAAAAAAATGGAATTTGATTCTTAATCTTTTCCTGTCATAACATTTTCTGGCTTCATATCTCTATGAATTATTCCTCTGTCAATTTATATGAATTTAAAAGTACTTTCTATGCACTCCTTCAATTATTTATATAATTTATAGAGAAATATTGACAACGCATTTTAATGAAAACCTTTTTAAAGCTTTTAAATGATAGGATAGATCTCTGCCTAATAATTACATCACCAAGCAATTATGATTATGCTCATTGCCTGCCCAAATAATTTTAGGAATCCCTAATTTAACAAATATCTAACCTGAAAGCTTTTTTAATTCATCTAACATTTATATTTCTCTCTCCAAACTCATTGAATTAATATCCTCCTTTTCTACTTTCATGGCCACATATTCTTTAGTTTACAGATCTTAACATAAAAAAACAACTCCAAATGAACCTTTCAATATATAATCCTTATCAAAAGGTACCTGCACTAATCTTATGCTTTATATAGAATCTTTTGTTGTATAACCTTTCTTTTTACTTTTCTTCCAAATTCATAAAATTAGATAAATTAATTAATTCAGAGCTTAATATCCTTATTAATTTAGTAATCAATTTAATTAGTAATTTAAAGGAGTTGAAATTCAATTTTCTAAATAGTAATCTCTCTATTGATTTTAATTTTTACAACAGTATATTTAATTCACTATTTACATATATTTATAAAAACGTTGATCTCTTGATAAATTTAAACTAACTAATATTATAATTATGTATAATTAAATTACCATAAAATGAAATTTAAAATTGTTTCAAAATTAATATATCATTATATATTGTAAAGTATTATAATGAATAATAAAAATTATTAAATATTTTTTTATATTGAAAATATTAAATGATGATATTATTATTTTTAGAATTGAATAGATCTTATTTTAATGTAAGAAAAAAAATTTATTAAATATTTATCTACTAATCAAAACATCATTAAGGTTAAATTGAGGCTAATTATTGTTTGTAGTAGCCAACAAGTTCCTACCATTTAGCCTTATTTTTGTCTAGATTTTCGAAATATGGTTCAAAGGCTGGAAGAAAGCCTTGAATACAAGAAAATGTTGGTTTAACCACATAATCAATAAAACTATAATGATTATAAATAATACCCCAATTAAGCTTCTGCCATATTGGTTGTATATCTATTACAAAGATAAGAAATAGGTAAGCCAAGTTCTCTTTCTTTGTCTCCTTATTACCAAAACTCTGTAAGAACTCTTTCGGTCCATTCCTTATAGATTTCAAAATTCTTTGTTGGATTTGATACATCTGAAGAATGAACAACCAAATCCATTAATCTTTATTTATCTTTTCCATATGGTTCAAAGTCAGCTTAAATTAAAAACTTTATGTACGTGATGCTACTCTACTATTTGTAATGGCTAATTCAGAGGCATGATGAGCCATATCTGTAGATAAAACCATAGAGATGATTGATTCTCTAATCCTTCTATATTTTTAGAATTATAGATTTTCAAAAATGTTTGCCTTTGAATTTGCCCAAGCAATTTTAAAGCATTAAGATGGATGAAACATTTCTAAAACACTTTAATCATTATATGTTAATGCTAAATCATTTTTACTATTAATTAGAAAGGCATTAGTTAAACCAGGATGTCCATAATCATGAATTGCTCCTGCTATTAAAACACAAGCTATATCTTATTCATCTAATTAGCCAATTTCAATAAACTTGCATTTACTCAATAAAAAATTGCATGTTTAAGCAACATCTTAAGCATGTACTCTACTATGATATGGATTATCTTAGTAACCCTTAGTTACTTCTTCAAAATAACTCCTCACAACTTTAGGTTTAACTAAGAAAACTTCAAAAAGATTGTAATTTTCAAAGAGAAACAACATCAAATACACTAAACCTTCTCCTGCACTTAGTTTATCACACTCAAATGGATCAATATATAAATCATCATGCTATTTATCTAAAATCTCTAAAACCTAATATTTCTTTATTTAAATTCTTTACCCTTTTTGGAATATTTAGTTTTTAAAAATTCGCTAGTACTTTTTTTTATTACTGCTATTAATCAACAGTAATAATCTTCCTTACATCTGTTCTCCCTTATTGACTTTAATTCAGCCACCCCATAGCCTAGTCAATTAATTAATTCAAAAATTACTTCAGCATTATCTTCATCTAACTTTCCCATTTAATACAATTAGTTACTACCTATTTTATCAATGCAATAATCAATATCCAATTTCATACTTTCAAGTTCTATAACTTCTTTTAATTCTGATAAAAATCGAACAATTTTCTCTGCAGGAGTAGAAATAGTTGATATTGTAGAGAGTCTTCTAAAAGTTTAAGCTTTTCTAATGAGAAGAAATATTCTTAAAAATCTAAAAACTGCTTAGATTACTTTAACAACATTTGATGTTTTCTAATCTGCTAACTCAAATATCACAAAAAATAGTGACAACAATATAATTAGGGTATCTAATATGAGCCATTTATCTTTGTAGTATTTCTAAAATATTTTACATTTTACCATTATCCCCCATGCATATAAACCAACTGCAATTTCTAAAATAAATACAATTAATATTCCTAATTCAATCCAACTTAATATTACAGAGACATCGTTAAATTCTGCTTCATCCATCAATTCTTCTAAAGCTACAATAACAAAAATTAGGATTGCATATACTCCAACCAAAGCAATAATGCTGATAGTTACTGCCTTTGAATTAATATAATCTTAGATCTTCTGTTCTTATTCTGTATACAATCTAACAGTAGTGATAAATGCATAACCTCATATTGAGCTTTTTTCTAGGAATTTCAAGCAATTTATCACTTCTTTTTGAAGATTCTCCTCTCATAGTTTGTCTATCTGGATTTTCAAGACTTCTTAATTGAGAATCAGATCTAGAAGCCAACATATTTAATGTAATAATTAAAAAGTAAATCAAAATTATTAAATATTATTATGCATGTTATGGTAGTCAAAATACTAATCAGCAAAGATGCTATTTTTTAAATACTTTTCTTAGATTGAATTATATTGTTCTTATTAGTTTTTAATCTATTTTTTTCTGTTTTTCTTAGTACAACAAATTCATATTGTTGTTGATAATATAACTATATTTTTTTTAAATTAAAAAATTGGCTAAAAACATAAGTAGTCATATAATTGTTTATAAATTTTTCTAGATTCATTTTTATATCATACGTGTAATATACTTTTAGATTAAAAGTGAAATTAATTAAATTTAATATAATAATTCCTATTATGTAAGAGGAAAGGGAAGAGATTGTAGATGAACTTACTTTATTGAAAATAGAGAAATCTAAAAGAAGAAAAAGAAAAGAATGGGAATTAAAAATGATGGGAAAATGCATAACTTGGTTAATTTATGCATATGCAGCAGGTATAATAACATCAGGATTGAATTACTTTTTGGTAATTATAGCTGTTGAATTATTAGTTAGAAAAAGGTTTTAAATATGAAGGAATTGTAGAAGATAGCTGTTAAGATTTTAAAACATTAAAATCAGTGAATGATTAAATATTCCCTCTATTAGATGAATTGACTGTAAAAATAACAAATGAAATAATAGTACAAAAAATACTTTAAGATTTTCAGAGTTAACTTAGATAATGATTGTCCATTTTCGATTGGAGAATATATATGTACAAGTAAAAAATGTGTAATTTGCACTTGTAATACTACTGAAGTAAGAATTGAATATATTGAAGATTCCATCTAATTGGTTATCACCTTCATCCTCTCCAATTAATTACCCAAAAGATGATTTTGCATTTTGGGATTCGGAGAGATACCTAAGTATGAAAATAGATGATTTTTAGCTCCTTCTGAATGGATATGGCATGTAGAAGATATCGAAAATGATAAAGGAGTATATGTTGACTTGAAATTAAACCCAGAAGCATTTACAGGATATTAAGGATAACACATATGGGATGTTATCTATAGAGAAAATTGTTATTAAGGTTCATTAAATGAAATGTGTAAAGAAAAGAGAGCATTGAATAAATTAGTATAGGGTTTACATACTTCAATTTCAACTTAATTAAGTGAATTCTATGTGGATTTAACAACAAATAAAACATATCCAAATTATCCTTTATATTTTGAGAGAGTGGGTAATCATCCTGAAAGAATTAGAAATTTGTTTTTTTTATATTCAGTTCTTTTGAGATCAGTTATATTAGCATCTGATGGAATCTTAAAACATGATATAAATTCTTAGTCTTTTGAAGAAGATGGTAGATCAAAATATCTATTAAATTAGATATTATCTTTAGGTACTAATTAATGTTAAAAGCCTTTTGATGAATAACAGTTCTTCAATTAAATAACATTTGTAATAAAAAAGTTTATTATGGTTAGGATTAAAAGAAAGATTATCAAAGATATATTCATAACATAAGTAGAATAATGGATTGTGTAGAGTGTTAAAAATGTAGAGTATTTGGAAAGATGTAAACATATGGATTAGGAACAGCATTAAAAATTCTATTTTCTGAATCTCCAAGTGAATTTTCAGGTAGATTGAAAAGAAATGAGTTGGTTGCATTAATTAATACATTCGGAAAAGTTTCAAGTTCTGTAAAATCAATAGAATTAATGTTTGAAAGAAGAAACAAATTTCATTATAATCTTATAATAACAATAGGAATCATAGGGGGATCATTTATATTATTTATGGTGGCAATTAGAAAAATCTACTCTTAAATGGATAAGAAAATATAAAATATGTTTAAAGGAATGCCTTCAGATAATGCTTAAAAAGTTAATAGAGGAACTAAGAGTAAACGCGATTGAATTAAAACATAGATAGATATATATATATTGTACCATTTTTTATATATCAATATCATTATTATTGTTATGCTGTTTCTGTTGTTGTTTCTTCTGCTCTTCTTGGTCCTCTATTACCACCTCTACCAAAAGGTTTATTTCCTCTTGGACCTCTTCTTTATTCAGGAACATCATCTTCAAACTTTTTATCAGCTTTTTTGAAAGTGGCTGGAATAACATCTTCAACAATGCCTTTACAATAAATGATTTCAGATACCCAATTTATCTCTCACATATTTTACACCTTCAGCTTTTAGGTAATAATAGTAGTATTACCATGAGAATACTAAATCAACAAGCTTTTTATCTCTTAAACTTCTCAAAAGCATCCAAACTTCTAAGTTTTTTACTCCTGTTTCAGCATGAACTGGAAGTGCCATGTCCTTATATTTATATGTAAAAATATACCTTCTTTATTACTATAACACCTTCCAATAACAAATATTCATAGACTTTTCTTCTGTCTTATCTCTTTACTTGAACCATGCAAAATAATGGATTTGATTTATTTTAAATTTTAAAATAAAATAAATAAATACGCAATAATGCTTTCAAGAAAATCTTTTTTATTCAATCGTTGTCTTTATAGATTTTGCTCATATAGAGAAGAATATGATACATTTGGACCAATCAAAGTTAAAAGTGATCGACTTTGGGGAGCTTAAACATAAAGATCAATCTAAAATTTTGATATATGTAGAGATACAGATAAGATGCCCCTTCCAGTCATTAAAGCTTTTGGAATACTCAAAAAATCAGCTGCTATTGTAAATAAAAGATATGCACTCAAACCAGAAATTTCTGATGCTATTGCTAAAGCATCTGGTAAATTTGTTTTCTGATTTTTTGTAGATGAAATTATCGCTGGAAAATTGAATGATCATTTTCCATTAGTTGTTTGGTAAACAGGTTCAGGTACATAATCAAATATGAATGCTAATGAAGTTATTGCTAATAGAGCTATCTAAATCTTAGGTGGATAAATTGGTGGTAAATTAGTACATCCTAATGATCATGTCAATATGAGTTAATCTTCTAATGATACATTCCCTACTGCTATGCATATTGCTACAGTCATTTAAGTATCAATTTAATTTTATCAAACAAGACTAATGAAGTATTAATTCCTGGATTATAAACACTTTTGTCAAGTCTTGAAAGAAAGGCTTAGGAATTTGATAAAATTATTAAAATAGGCAGAACACATACCTAAGATGCTACTCCTTTAACTTTAGGCTAAGAATTCAGTGGATATGCCTAATAAGTAAGAAACAGTATTGAAAGAGTTAAAACAGCTCTTCATTAAGTTTAATATTTAGCTTAAGGAGGAACAGCTGTTGGAACAGGAATTAATACATATGTTGGATTTGCTGAAGCTATTGCTGAATAAGTAAGTAAAGAGACAGGATATGAATTTAAAACTGTACCTAATAAATTTGAAGCTTTAGCATCTCATGATGCTTTAGTAGATTTTCATGGATCATTAAATGCTGTTGCTGTTTCATTAATGAAAGTATTCACTAAATATATAATAATATAGATTGCAAATGATATTCGTTTCTTAGGATCAGGACCTAGAAGTGGTTTAGGAGAATTAATATTACCAGAAAATGAACCAGGATCATCAATCATGCCAGGAAAAGTTAATCCTACTTAATGTGAAGCCTTAACTATGGTTTGTGCTCAAGTTATGGGAAATCAAGTAGCTGTTACTGTTGGTGGCTCAAATGGGTAATATTAAATAATATCATATTTAGACATTTTGAATTGAATGTTTTTAAACCTGTTATTATTCATAATGTTCTCCATTCAGTTAGACTCTTAGGTGATGCAAGTGTATCATTTACTAAAAATTGTGTTGATGGAATTTAAGCAAACACAAAAAAGATTGAAGAATTAATGAACTAATCTTTAATGCTTGTAACTGCTTTAAATCCATATATTGGATATGAAAAAGCTGCCAAAATTGCCAAGCATGCTCATAAACACCATTAAACTTTATTAGAAGCTGCCTTAGAACTCAAATTTTTAAATGAAGAACAATTTAAATAATGGGTTAGACCTGAATCTATGATTGGACCATAAGAATACAAACCAAAAAAATGATATAAATTATAAGTTTAATATATTATAATCCAATATTATGCCTCACAATTTAGATATATAATTAATTAAATAATATACAACAACACTAGTAGCATTAGTAATAAAGTTAAGAATGATAAAAAAAGAAAAATATAAGAAAAAAAGAGTAATAAAAGAATAGCTAGCTGAGGCAGATTCTCTCTTTTAAATATATTCAATTATTGAGAGGATGTATAGGGTATAATATATAATTTGAGATTTTTTAAAGATTATATTTATAAAGATTATTTGAGAAATAGTTTATTCCTACATAATAATATAAATAATAATTCATTGATATTAATTAATTAATAATAATAATTGGTATATTTGTTTTTTTAATATTTTAATGGGAATATATTGAATAAATTGTAATTATCAATTAAGTTTACGTTTACTTTTAAGTTTAGGTTCATTTTCATCAACATTATTACTATTTAATTCATCATTTTCGATTTATCTCAATTTCTTACTTTTTTTCTATATTTTAGGTAAATCAAGATCATCTTAGAAAACTTAATTTTGTTCAATATCTATTTGATCATCTATTTTTAAATCTAATTCATTGAATTCTTCTTGTAATTCTTCTTGAATAGGTGAAGCTTCAGGAAGATAATAAACAACTTATTTTCTTTCTCTTTAGCCTCTTCCATATTCTTTATGTTCTTAAACATCATTTTATTTAGATGTAATCCATTCAGGTACTTCATCTTCTTAAATTAATCTATAATTAAAATATTGATCATCTTTATTTTCATAAAAGTTCTTATAAATTAATTTTTCTTTTTCATATCTTTATCTATCTAATTCATTAAACATTTCAAATTCTTCTTCACTTCTAGCTATCCATTCATTTATCTAAGTATCATCAGGAATTTCTTCTGCTTCAAATAAGTCTACTTTATTTTTTTATCTAAAGAAATCTTATAATCTTTCTCTTCTTTCTTAATCAGTAGATCTTTAATTATACAATCCTGCTTAAATAATAACAGCATCTAAACCCATTTTGTGTTCAGCTTTACTTAGAATATTACCTTCAATTTATGTAGCTGTAATTAATCTAAAAACTCTAACTTCATTTTTTTATCCAATTCTATAAGCTCTATCTTATGCTTATAAATCCATCATAGGATTCCAATCACTATCAAATAATACAACAGTATCTGCAGATTGCAAATTCAATCCTAATCCACCAGCTCTAGTACTTAATAAAAATATGTTATAGATTGAATTTTCTTAATTAAATAACTAAATTCTAGATTCCCTGTCTTCAGATTTGGTTGATCCATCTAATCTTAAATATCTCCATCCTCGATATTCAAAAAATGCTTCCATAATATCCATTAATTATGTCATCTAACTAAAAATCAACAATCTATGTTTAAAATATAATAATTTTGGTATTATCCTATCAAGTAATTCAAATTTTCCACTAGATCTCCAAATTTCATCTGTAACTTTATTCATATCTAAATTTAACATAAATAAATAAGGATGATTACAAATCTTTCTTAACTACATCATCAAATTTTATAATGCTTAGGATCCACTTTTTCCTGATTATTAATCAAAGGTCATAACTCCTCTTTAATTAATTTAATCATATATTTTCTTTTACCATGCTGATAATTTAATTTTAATGACATATTCTGTTTTTCTTGGTAATTCTTTTTCTACATCCTTTTTAACTCTTCTTAATAAAAATGGTCTTAAAACTTAATGTAATCTATTAATGATCAATAATTATTCTTCTTCATCTAATTAAATATCTTTTTCACTTGCTCCCATAATGTTTAAAGGTGTTTAAAACCATTTTTCAAAATCTTCACAAGATGAAAATACTTTTGGTAATAAAAAGTTTAATAAAGCCCATAATTCAGCTATATTATTTTGTAATGGTGTTCCTGTAAGCAATAATCTTCTTTCACTTTAATATTATTATCCTAAAATCATAGCAAATTTGCTCCTTGAATTTTTCATTCTATGTCCTTCATCCACAATTATATATTTCCATTCATACTTTGATAATGTCAATTTATCTTTTAATACATATTCATAGGTTGTTAAACAAATATTCCATTTAGTTGTTCTCATTTATTTAGAAATTTCCTTCCTTATTTAAGGAGATCCCTTATAGATAATTTTTTTAATAGATGGAGCCCATTTTTCAAATTCATTAGACCAATTACTCAAAGTAGATAAAGGCACAATAATAAAATATGGTCCAAAATTTTTCTTAGTTTCTATTAAATAACATAATAATGAAATAGTTTAAATAGTCTTACCTAAACCCATTTCATCAGCTAAAATACCATTTAAATTATTATTATATAAACTAACTAACCAATCTAATCCTTATAATTAATATTATTTTAATTATCCTCCTTCTAATAATGCTGGTTATTATGTTATTACTTCTTTTATTTTATGAGTTATATTATAATATACTTTATTAGCTTAACTTAATTCATATCCCAAACCATTATTTGTATGCATATTATCTACCACTTCATCTTCTTCAGTAATTTCTTCTCCTTTCTGTATTTTAACTCTCGCACCAATATCCTTTAAAAATTAATCTGTTTATCTTAAAATTGAAACTACTCTTTCTTTCTTAGCTTCATCTAATTTCTCTAAAACTTAAATATAAGTCTCTAGATTTCCTCTTCTAATATGTTCCATTCTCATCTATTTATCTCTTTATTATTCTCTTTATTCCAATACAACCTTAAATTAAACACTTCTTTTTCGAGCATGTTTATATTTCTTTCTATGAAATTCCATAAATTCAATCTAATGTGCAAATATTGCAGACATAAACTCTTTCTATTTTATCTTCTTCCTTCTTGCTTATTCATGTCTTATCATACTCAATTCAAATTTATCTGATAACTTACTCTCAGGTCTTCTTTAAGGTTTATCTCTTTTAAAATAATTTCTATCTAACAACAATCTTTCCAGCATTCTTGATTACAATACTGCTTAATTTTCTTCTTACAACAATGGATTCAAGATAGACTCTTTAACTTTCAAATAAAAATCCTTTGAATTTATAAACAGTAATTCAATTTTTAAACTCACATATTTTGGATCATTTTGGTGGGTTTTCTTTAGCTCTTATTCTATATCCAATCTCCTCTTCTCTATATATCCTTACATTCGTTCACTAAACAAAGACATATCCTAAATAATCATTTCAAGAACTATACATCACAAGTCTAATCTAATTTAAGCTTTGGATATCTGTCTCGAAATATTGATTTTAGTTCCTCATTTTTATCAATTTTGTCATGAAAATATTGAATGGAATTCTGAAATATCTTTTCCCTTTCTACTTCCCACTAGTCCTTGCTGTATGGAAACATTTATTTTTCATTTTCTATGTGGTGATTTCTATAAGTTTACTTTCAATCTTACCTTTAAACTTGCTTGTAACAAATAATTTACTACCTCAATTGGTATACTTATTTTTCATCTTAATTCTAAATAAATATAAATGAATATTTACATAATCTGCTTCTTATTACATTTTTAAAGATTTTTTAAAATCTAATGCAAAAATTTTTATATTTTATGAATAAATACTGATCATTAAATACAGGCAAATTTTAATCATCAGAACAAAAAAAGCACTGATAAATTTTTGTTTGAATTCCTTTCTTATATTGATATCAAATATAAACTTTTAGAAATAGTAAAAATTATGCAATAAATAATTAAAATCTCTATCTAAAAAAAAATTATTTAGATTTAAAGTTAAAAAAAAAATTCCTTTAAACTCTCTTACTTATTTATTGTACTATCAAAAGAGTTTTCACATATTAGAAATATTATGAATTCTTTGTTCTAACATTCTAATATTAATGTAATATCTTCATCTTATCAGAATTATTTTTTTATGCTTTACAATTTTTTCTTAATAAAGAGACATTTAGATCTAGAATTATAAAAAAACCTAATCAATTAGACTGAAATTAGATATTCTCCCAAATTAATCATCTAATAAAATTTTGAAATATATAATATCATAAATCTTTCACAAAATTTGTTAAATAGCTTTGAATGTTCTAATTTGTAAAGAGACCTTAATTTATAAAGTTTCAAAATAATACTGATATAAATTACTATTTTTATAATTTAAGTAATTATCAAAGTTCTTTCTTTAAAAAAGGCATGAAGGATTTTGTAACTTTATTCAATAATCTCCCTTTGCTAGCTTTTTTAGATTCAAATTTAAGCTTATTAAGATTCTCCTCCATATCAACTTCATCAAAATCATTTAATTTTGAATGTTTCTATTTTTCTTCATTTATAAGATAATCTTTTCTCTCTTATTCTTATTATTTTTCTCTTAACATTTCTTCTAGCATTTTTTAATTTTACTCTACTCTTCTTTTATCTTCTACATTTTTAGAATTTACTTCACCTAATCTCTATCTGTCTATTTAATTTTATGCTTTTTAAGTTTTTTTTTTAATTTAAGCCTAAATTTTTTCTAATTCTAATTATTATTTCAAAGAACCAAAAAATTTAAGTTATTCATTAGTTTAAGTCTATTTAATGTTCACTTATTTTTCCTTTACATTATAAGTTTTCTCCTATTCAACTTACTTAATCAGAACTGCTTTTTATTGATCTTATCTTTTTATTTAATCAAGCCATCTAAGAAATTCTTTATCACTTAATTCTGCTCTTTTTTTATTTATCACAATATTAAATGTAGCATCTTCAACTAATATTGATGCTATTTTATTCTTTTATTTAAAAGCTTCTAATTCCTTTTCATTTAACTATTATTGACGATTAGGTATCATAAATTTTATAAAAAATAATTTATTTATATAATATTTTATGCTGATATTCATCAAATCTCAACTTTTTTTACTTTATCTCCTAAATCAGGAATTTCTTAAGCAATTACTTTTAATTTATCCTTATTTTATAATAATTCAGCTGTATTCATTTTAGTACTCTTTTATTTAATCTTACTATTTTTTTCTTAGATTTAACTTTTTAATATATCTGCATGTCTTAAATTTACTTCTTTAATATACTAATATATATAATATAATTTGATTACATCGAATTTTTTTTTCTCATGATCATTATAATTATCCAAATCTTATTTCCAAATTTCAGCCTATCTTTTATTTAGTTCTTCCTCTTCTTCTTATCTTCTTTTTTTTTCTTCTATTTAAGAATTTAAAAATTATCTTAATTATTATCTTTAATCTAATTATTTTAATTTTTTTTTCTCTTCCTCTATTTTTTCTCTTTCATTTTATTAAATTATATTTCTTAACATTTTATCATCTTCTTATTTAATTAATTCTTTTTAATCTCTAACCACTCCTTCAGCAAACATACCCATAACTTTTTTCATTTTTTCTTCTCTTTATTTTCTTTCCAAATCTCTTTATTCCTCCAACTAATTTTATAAACTTATGTATTATTATTGCATTTAAGTTTCTGCTTCCTTCTCCAACTTAGCATCTTCAAATGCTTTTTTTCTATATTCTTCATTTTCTTTCATCATTCTTAAAAAACGTTCCCTTTCTTTATTTCTTCTATTTAATTATTCTCTTTATTCTAATTCTAACTCTTCCCTTATTTTTTTAACCAATAAACTATCAAGTTCCTTCTCTCTTTTTTATTCTATTTTTCTAATAATATCATATATATATTTAACTTTCTTTATTATTCATCTCTAACTTATTTGTCTCTTTGCAACTTCTCGTTATAAATTTTATTTTTTAAATTATCCTATTTGTCCTTCTCTCTTTAATCATAAACATTCAATTAATAATGATGCAATTTCACATAAGCATCTTCATCTTGTACTTCTTCTTATTTCTTATTTTATTTCTCATTTATTTATCTATCCAATTCTGATTTAATCTTTTTCTTAAATTCCTATTTTCTTATTCCCTCAAGTTCTTTTTCTTTTTTGTATAATTCAGTATCAAATTTAACTAAAGTAGCCCATTCATCATCTTCATCTCCCTCCATCATATATACTGATTTTGGTGCCTTTTTTAATCCATTATTCTAATACCTTTGAAGATGTCTCAGAATAACCATCTTGACGTTATTATGGAAGTGATTAAATTTATTAGTTTGATTTCCTAGACTAACTACTTGGAGGCTTTTATTATGGAATCTATTACAATTATTATTATTGTGTGACTACCTTATATAATATTTTTATACCTTATGATTCCTTAATTGATTAATCTGCTTAAGATTGAGTTGTGGATCCTGCATTTTGAATTGCCTATTAAACTTATTATTTTAAATTTTTTAAAGTAACATCAGTAACTCTAGTTTTTGAGAAATAATCATTCACAATATTGGTGATAATCTAATATCTATAATGTAAGTTACTTATATTTTATTTTTGTTATTCTTTCCGAAATCTTTTATAAATCTTTCCAAAACTGTTTACTTTAGTTACTCTCTTTATTACTGAATTAGAGCTTTATCGATACTCTCCTTTTTCTTTGAATCATTTGTCACAGTACTCATGATATTTATATAATAAAAATTAATTATTTAAAACCATTACTTAATATATTTGTATTTAATTAATTAAAGCGCCAACAATGGAGAAATAAAAAAGAAAGAAACATGGAGCCCATAATGAATCCAAGAGTTTATGGAATTATACACTATCTCCAGGTTGGTCATAAGAAGAAGTCAAAATTTTAAAGCTTGCATTACAAAAATTTGGAATTGGTAAATGGAGAAGCATCATCTAATCAGAATGTTTACCAGATAAATCTATTGGATAAATTTACATCTAAACCTAAAGAATGCTTGGATAACAATCTTTAGGAGATTTTATGGGTATCAACTTTTTATCATATAAAATAGGATTGTAGATTGATTTAGAAAAGGTTTGGATAGATAATAATTAAAAAAAAGGAGTGATGAGGAAGAATGGATGTGTTATTAATACTGGTGATAATCCAAATAAAGAAGAGAGAAAGCAAAGAATTGAAGAAAATAGATAGAAGTATTCCATATCTCAAGAGGAAGTAAATATAAATCTTTATCATATTAGATTAATAAAATAAAATTACCAAGATTTAAGAATGATTGTGTGGCTAAATATTTCACAATTTAAGAAATTGAAAATGATTAATTTACAACAATTGAAAAATTATAACATTTTGTTAACCTAGAAATTGAAATAGATAAGAAACTCAAAAAAATTTTATTAATTAAATCGAATTTAAATAGTAATGGTAACAATCATGTTAATGGCAATGGAAATAGCAATCACAATTTACATAATCACTAAGAAGAGTAAAAATGATAGTTTTAATTTTGTTTATTAAGAATAAATTAATTATATAAATATAGTTTAATTAATTATTTGGTCATTGATAGATATAAAAATGTTTACTGTATATAAAATTATTGGCAAAATTTAATAATTCATTAAATATTCAAGAAAACTTATTTTTAAAATTTATGAATTATTAAAAATTTCGTTAAAATGTAGATTTTTATCTAAAGCCACATAAAGCAAATCTGGATAATCTATCAAAAAAATCATATATATCACCTATTAGAATAAAAACCTAACAAAGCAATTAAGAATCAGGAAACAAATAGAAAATACTAACTAACTAAAATATGATGGAGAGAATCAATAAGGTAATTTTAGATCAAAGAGTTAAATTTCCAATAACTACATCAAGAAATTTTGGATAATAAAACAAAGATAATCATTTTGAATGCTTTTTAAAGAGATAGGGTTGCTTAGCCAATTATTATAAACATAGATGAGTATCTAAAATATATATAGAGATATAATCATCAACTATTAATTTTGTTTTTATAGAATTACATCTCCTATTTTGTTAGCTATATCCGTTTTCCTGTTTCATCAATTAAAGGATGTCCATCTTAACTAAGAATAAATCCATTTTCATCAACTTGATACATTAGTTCTTCATCTTCATCATCATTTTCATGAATTGTGGACATTCTTTAAGCTAAAATTAATTGAAATAAATACATTTCAATTGATCGAATTCTTCTTTAGTAATTTATAGATTATTTGGATCATGAACATTAATATTATCCAAACTATCAATCATCATTTGTTCATTTAATGCTTTAATAGGGGAATCTTCATATTGATTAGTTGTTTAAATGGTAGTCTTTTGAGTATTAAATTATTAAGTAATAGATGGTTAAGCAATTTATTGTAAGGGTTATTATTGTTATTATTAAGATTTGATTTATTTAATATTTTAGACATTTGTTATATCTGTGAGTGGATGATCTGATGATATGTATTCGATTTCATGAATATCACTATTAGAATCTTTACTGGAATTAAGAATAGAACTAAGATGATCAGGAATTTTTCGGTTAATCAAATAATCATTTACCTACTTATTGAATTACTCATATTTTCTGATATATTAATCATAATTATCTAAAGAATTTCTTTAATTAACATGTTTTTTATATTAGTATTCTTCTGGTTCATTTTCTTTTCCTTTATAAGATTATTACATTTTATCAGATTATTTGCTAGTTGATAGATTAATTTAAAAGAGTTAAGATTTCAATTTTTCTATTTATACTTATAAAGCCTTAAAGTCAGTTTGTTCTTATTTTTATAATTTATGTATCATTTCTCTACAAGTTTAAGTAATTGAAAAATGTAATTGTTCTTTAACTTAATTGATTTATGATTAAAAATTAGGAGATTCTTTTTATTCTTTTTATTCTTTTTATTCTTTTTTCTTTTCCTATTATATCTATTATTATTAAATGATTAGTTATTATTATTAATGCATATAATCGATTTATTTACTTTATTATTCAAAAAGCTTTAACATTTCATCTCTTTAATTTCTCAAAGCATTATCTATATATAATTATAATGAATTAGAGTTTTGATTAGGTCTGATATTAGGTTAGGATTACATAATTGGAGTCACTGGAGATTTACTTGTATTACCATCTGGCTGACTCATTATTCTAAGACTCTAAAATCCTTTTGGACAAACTTATTAGTAAGGTGGTATCTAATTGGTTTCTCTTTCTTTCGAAACTTATCTTACTTCATTGTCTTTATAATTTATAATTCTAAACTCTTACAATTTTACAATGAAACATATTGAACAGGATGAGTAGTTGGAGTTACTTATAGAAATTGAAATCTATTTGAATGTTCTAATTTAATAATCAATTATACATGATATTATTGTGTTACGTTGAATAGGACTTTATTATGCTGGAGAAAGTCTACGCTGTTAATTCATTATTAATAAATTAAAATTTGAAATTATTAATTATTATTATTGTATATTCATAAAAAAACTATTATTGATGTTTCCATTTAATTAAATTAATGAGAATTTGTATTACCAGTGTCTAAGATAAGAAATGTAAATACACAAGATTACTTCCTTAAAACAACTCTGAAAATCAATAAATCAAGTTTTAAAAAATTGAATTTCACAATTAATTAAATAAACAACTCAAACCTAGTGTAGTTTTAAAGAGTTTACCTAAAGCTCAAAATGCTATTCATAGTTATTAGTTAATCAAGATTTTTAATGAATTTCCAAGACAAAGAAGAAAAAGCTATAATGAAGGTGCAATTTCATAAAAAATTGTAAGACATTCAGTTTATTCTCAAGTTGAATATAGACATTAAATACCCTAGAACTCTTATCTAATAACACCAATTTCTAGATAGAGTCAAAGATTTAAGAAGAAGAGCAATTAAGGGAAGAATGAAGACTAAATTTGAGAAATCATTTAAGAAAATAGATACACCAACCACAAGCTAATTTAATCCTTAAAATAGTCATCATAGTACTAATAGAGATTCTTACTATGCAACTATGTAAGATATCAAAGTTCAAAGAACTTTTACCAAGGATCGTGCTTACTATTAACGACCATTGGATAAAAAAGGTTCTGATTTGATATNTATTATTCAAAAAGCTTTAACATTTCATCTCTTTAATTTCTCAAAGCATTATCTATATATAATTATAATGAATTAGAGTTTTGATTAGGTCTGATATTAGGTTAGGATTACATAATTGGAGTCACTGGAGATTTACTTGTATTACCATCTGGCTGACTCATTATTCTAAGACTCTAAAATCCTTTTGGACAAACTTATTAGTAAGGTGGTATCTAATTGGTTTCTCTTTCTTTCGAAACTTATCTTACTTCATTGTCTTTATAATTTATAATTCTAAACTCTTACAATTTTACAATGAAACATATTGAACAGGATGAGTAGTTGGAGTTACTTATAGAAATTGAAATCTATTTGAATGTTCTAATTTAATAATCAATTATACATGATATTATTGTGTTACGTTGAATAGGACTTTATTATGCTGGAGAAAGTCTACGCTGTTAATTCATTATTAATAAATTAAAATTTGAAATTATTAATTATTATTATTGTATATTCATAAAAAAACTATTATTGATGTTTCCATTTAATTAAATTAATGAGAATTTGTATTACCAGTGTCTAAGATAAGAAATGTAAATACACAAGATTACTTCCTTAAAACAACTCTGAAAATCAATAAATCAAGTTTTAAAAAATTGAATTTCACAATTAATTAAATAAACAACTCAAACCTAGTGTAGTTTTAAAGAGTTTACCTAAAGCTCAAAATGCTATTCATAGTTATTAGTTAATCAAGATTTTTAATGAATTTCCAAGACAAAGAAGAAAAAGCTATAATGAAGGTGCAATTTCATAAAAAATTGTAAGACATTCAGTTTATTCTCAAGTTGAATATAGACATTAAATACCCTAGAACTCTTATCTAATAACACCAATTTCTAGATAGAGTCAAAGATTTAAGAAGAAGAGCAATTAAGGGAAGAATGAAGACTAAATTTGAGAAATCATTTAAGAAAATAGATACACCAACCACAAGCTAATTTAATCCTTAAAATAGTCATCATAGTACTAATAGAGATTCTTACTATGCAACTATGTAAGATATCAAAGTTCAAAGAACTTTTACCAAGGATCGTGCTTACTATTAACGACCATTGGATAAAAAAGGTTCTGATTTGATATCAGATTCTCCTAGTGAACCTAGTATTTAATTGCAATAAACAAGAAAAAATATAATATTTACTCCTAAATAAAAATAGTATGTTTTGCTTTAATTAAACAAATACAAACACAAACCTTTTGAATAAATTAAACGAGACACAATTATTAAATTTCTTTCAGAAACAAAGGAGACTCAAATTCCTATAGTTCCTTAGACAGCTCCTTTATTTTTACATAGACTATAACCCTATTTTTCTTATCCTAAGAAAATTAATCTAAAAAAATCTTGTTTCATATCTTCTTCTTAAAGAGTTAAAACAATATTGTGATGAAATTTATTTGACCATAAATATATATATATATACAAATATAAATAAGTATCAATTATAATGACTTCTGCTTGTCTTGCTACCAATGCCATATTTATTTCTTTATTTAATTTTTGTATATCCACAAGTGCTATATAATTAAATAAAATTAAAACAATACTTTATACTATCTAAAGAATTTCTATTAAATGCAATCGAATTACGATCACAAGTGATTATGACTTTGTCGAATTTTTCTATAAAACTCTATTTTACACTACTACAAGTAATCTTATCAAGATTTTTGAAGCTTATTTTTTAAACAGGATCATGATTTTTTACATCTCTATAAAAATTAATAATCTCATCTTAAGTGCATTAACTAAGATTTAATTCATTATTTGAAGGAGCAAATTCTTCATCAGATATGGAACATTGTTTTTTTAAGATTTATTAATGCTTAATTCTTGAATCTAATAAATTAATACTTTTTTGCTTCTTCCTGTTATTCTTTAGTTTGCATATCAAATTTTACTAAATATTCTTAGATATTATTTTTTATGATTTATCTGTACTTATCTAAATTTCTATCAATATGAGAGTCTCTTAAGGCTGTACTCTAATATTTGTCTGACCAAAATTCAGGACAATGAATGCGACCACTATTAATTAAAGTCACTTTATGTTTTTGTGGTTTTAAAGGCTCAAATTTACGTTTCCTATAAATGGCTATAGTATCCTTTCTATCTTCTAATGCCTTATCTTATAGAAGAAACTGCAAATAAAAATATAATATTAAACCGGTAATGAGAGCATCATGTTAAAATTTATTTTTCTTTTATTTGCTAACTATTGTAGTGTAAATTATTCAATTGGAGGCAGCATACTTAGCTATGATCTAATAATCTCAGAATTATATGTAAAATCGTCTTACATGTATAATTTTAATATTATAAAAAGAAAGTCCAAAATAAGAAAATTGCAAAAGATATATATTAAATACTTTATAATCTATTAATTATTTTGATTGAGAATAATAAACTATTTAAATGTTTTAATTGGAGATGAGTAAGTATTTTAATATTATTTAAAATAAAAATTATCAGAATAGAATGGAAATCGGAGTTCAAAAATAAACAGATGAAGAAAATTAAGCATAACCAGAGTAATTCAACAAATTAGACGATAGTGGAGATAAAAAACAAACTGGATATTGTGGATTTCTCACAGTTGAGTATCATCAGAATATTAATATAGATATTACACTCCATATTTCAATGTTACAGAAACAGATGTAATATCAAGAATCAAAGCTACATTTTTACCTTTTCAACCAGATTTCTTAAATATCACAAAAGAGAATCCAGATTTGTATTTATTATAGACTGACTAAATAGATGGGGACCAATATGGATTAATGCTACTCTAATTTTTATGATTACAGCTATCTCAAATTTGAGATAAGTAGATTCAGAGAATGAGACTTAATAATTTAATGTTGGTTATGTTCCTTAAGCAACAGCTTTACTATACATTATTGCATTTGGAACTCCAGTCATTTTAGCAATTGTAATGAAGATCTTAGGAGTTGACCTAAGTTTCTTCTAAACCATTTGTTTATATGGTTATTCCATGTCAACATTATTACCAATCACTATTTTATGTTACTTTTAGAATGAGTTTTTTTTGTGGTTAATTATTGCATATGGAGTTGGAAATTCAATATTGTTCTTAATTTTTAATTTGAAAGAGTAATAATATATACAATAATATTAGAGAATTAGATAAATTATAGATCCAAAAGAAGTACATAATTATTGGCATAGTAATTACGATGCAATTGTCTCTCTATTTGTTTTATAAATTCGTTTTCTTTTCTTATGTTTCAGAGGGAAATGTAGAAACCCCAACTGGTGCAAAATAACCAGGTAATTGATTGTTCTAAATCTATATTATACAATAAAATAATAAATTCAATTCAATTCATATTTGATTTAATAACTTTGAGTTAATAAAATTTGATGAGCGTGTCTTATTATAATGTTCATCATTTTGTTGAGTATGTTTCTAAAATGAAAATTAATCAATATAACTAATATAAAATTATTTATTGATAAAGAGAAGATTTGAAATTGTTAAGAATAAGGAACTTAAAAAAAAAGAATTATATATAGCATAAAAAATAAGTATGTAAAAAGAGAGTTAATAAAGTAAATGAAAGGAATTTGATTGAATAATATATGATATATAGAACAAAATGTTGAGAAATAATATAATGTAATAAAAATAAAAAATAAAAACCAAATGTCTGGACGTTAAATCATAACTTAACCATAGAGTCGTAGTCAATATTAAAGCAACAATAATATCTTGACAGCTCAACCAATTTAATAACAATCTTAGAATCCTCTAAATTATCCAAGCAATGCAATACCTGCTCCTTTTATGCCAGCTCAAATAGGTTAATAATAATATTAATAATCTCAATACTAATAACCAAAACCTATGGAAAATACAGTGAGATATTAATAATAACCAGAAACACATTGTCCATTTTGTTTAACGTGTTAATAACATAAGAATGATTTATTATCAAAATAATAGGATTAATAGAAAGCTAAACCTTAAGGAAATAGTAATTTTCCAGAGTATGAATATGGTGTTTGTCCTGATTGTGAAGAGGGAACACAAGAAGGAGATCCAGAAGATGATATTGGAAAAGAAAATTAAAAACTTCGAGATGATATTGCTGCAAAAGCTAAAGCAAATAGAAAACTAAGAAATGATGTAGCTAGATTATAGACAGAATTAGATAGGATAAAACATTTACCAGAAGAAAATGAGAAATTAAAAGCAATGATTGGTCCGTTAGAAGATTAATTAAGAGATGCAAGACATAAAAATTAAGATTTACTTGATGATAATAATAAATTAGGAAATGTATTTAAATTACTTATAATATTAGTAAGTTAAAGATCTAAGAAATAATATAGATAAAGCAAATAATGCAGCAAAAGATAATGATAATTTAAAGAAGGAGATTGATGATTTAAAAAAGAAGAATAAAGATAATGATAAGGTAATTGAAGAGAACAATGATTTGAAGAATAAATTAAATAGATTAAAGGGAGATAGAGATAAGATGTTAGCAGATTTGGCAGCATTAGAAAAATAAAATGGAGCAATAAAGTATTAAATAAATGAATTTTAAGGGATAAATTAGGTAAATTAGCTAAAGATAATAATGATCTTTAAAAAGATTTAGGAGATTTGAAGAAAATAAATAAGGATTTAGAAAAGAAATGCAATGATCTTTAATTAGATAATGATAATCTTCATTTAAATTTAGGAGATGTAAATAAAGACAGAGATAAAGCAAAAGATTAATTAAATGATTTACATAAGAATAGAAATTAATTACTAGATGAATTAGGGAAGGTGAGAGATAAATTGAAAGATGCAGAGTATATAAATAAATATAAATATTTTATAGAAAGGATAAAGATGATTTGGGTAAGAAGTTGAATAATGTATAAAATGATGCAAAAAAGGCAGGTGATGTACCAAAATTAAAAAGATAATTAGATAATGCTTTATTAGAATTAGATGACTAGAAGGTTGAAAGATAGGAATTAGAGTAATATATTTTTTGATGTTAGTTAACATTTAAAATAAGTTCATGATGATTATAACAAGGCATTAAAGATATTGAAAGATAATGGTCTTTTAGGTCTTTTGGATCCATCTGAATAATAACCAGTTTAAAAATAACCAAATGGTAATGGATAATATAATCCAAATGGTAATGGATAATATGGCCCAAATGGTTAGAATTAAGGATACAATCCTAATAATTAATAACCTCTTTATGCTCCAAATGGATAACCTCTTTATGGTTCTAATGGATAACCTCTATATGGTCCATAAAATGGATAGATTGTTTATGGACCTAATGGGCAACCTATGTATGGACCTAATGGTTAACCTATCTATGGTCCTAATGGATAATATGGATAACCAGGCTAATAGGTTAATAGTGCATATTTAGGAACACCTAATTAAAATAGAGTTGGAGGTAATAATCCAATGAATCAATCTAATTAATGGGGAGGGGTCAGTGGAAATTAAGGAAGACCTTCCTATGAAGAACTTATGTTAGATAATATTAGAATGAAGAAATGCATTGATTAGTTAAACTATGATTTAAAAAATAGTAAAAAGTGATTTTATTAGATCAAAAATCCAGACATTTTACAATTTTATTTATATTCTCATATCAAGAATATACTTCTCTTTTATTTGTTTACCATTATCATTTAATTATTAATTATCTAATAAATTTATCACAACTTCTTTCAACAGCTATTACAACTGGATTACGGTTGTTAGGTTTTGTTAGTCTCTTGATTTAATTTAAATTATCCAGATTATGTATTCATATTGTTTGATAACTTTTAACCTTCATTATCTAATCTAATCTTCAGATTTTAACCCAATCTATCGAAAATATCTTCTAATGTATACAATTCATGTTTGTACGTATATTCTTATTCTCTAAAGCACTTGTTTCTATAAATGGCATATTATATTTTTGAGCCAACTTTTCACCTTCTGCTGTTGATACTCTTCTATCTTAAGAATCTAATTTATTTCCTACCAATATTGAACATCTATTTTTATTATTCTATAACACTTACACTTCATCAGTTGAACTCTCAAGAATCGATTTTATCCAACCTTCTACATTATTAAAAGAGTTTCTATCAACCAAAGAATATACAAATATTATTCCATATGCTCCTTTATAATAGGTTTAAGTAATATTTCTAAAACGCTCCTATCCAGCTGTATCCCAAATTTATAATTTTATTTTCTTATCTTAGACCTTTTACTCAATTATCAAAGTACATTAAGAATCTTAATTTTAAAATCTACTCCTATTGTTGCAGTATAGTTTTAAGAAAATTTTGAATCACAAAATTATGTTAAAATATTTGTTTTTCCGACTCCTGAGTCACCTAAAACAATCACTTTCACCAACCAATCATAATATCCCAAAGACATTTACAATTTATATTATATGTATATTATATATATAATATATATAAAGAAAATTTTTTATCATTATGAAATTGTGTATTTAGACAAAATAACTTTTAGGATAATTCTTCAAATATTAAAAATTATAAATATTATACAAGAATTTAGTTCTTAAACTAGTTTAAAAGTCTTAATTAAAATAAGATTAATTTATGGGGTGCTCATAACAAAAATTTTCATCTTCTACAAAGAACAGAAATGATGGAAGTATTACAACTGGACAACTTAACATGAAATAAACAACAAATGTCATCTCTGTAAAATATTTGAACTAAAAATTAATTGGATAATCTGGAAAGTATTATAATTTTCTACTAAATCGTGTTATTCTTTCAAAAGACATACGTAAAAATCTCATATCATAAATTTAGTGAATAGTACAATCATGATTAGAAGATAAAATAAACAAGAAAATTTGCCTTCCAAAAAAGACTATGTGACAAGCTCTAATGGCTGTAATTGATTCTTGAGATTATATTGTATTAAATCAACTAAACTCTAATATTAGAAAGAAATATTTTTGAATTCCTTATCATTATGTTAGATATAACATTTTTTTAATTTTATATGTCTAATATAATACCTAATCGAGATTGAGCATAACTTAATACAATTTTTCTATACTTTTACTCTCATAATAATTTTAAGAATAAGGAGTAATGTTTAGATTAAAGGAATAATATTAACTTTAATATGTTTAATTAAAAAAAGGTAATTTATAATAATTATTTCTTATTCTCATTATTAAATTATTTTTTGGATGATTATCGCTATTAAAGTAAAATATATAGTTATGTAAAAGAGAAAACCATTTAGCATTTAGATAACATTTCAAATTTTATTTGATTTAAATTTTTTGAAAAAAAAATAAAATGATAGAAAAATTTAAAATATTATCATAATTGTATTTTTTTAAAAAGAAAAATAAATAGATTATTTGTTTCTAAGTGTTTTTATATTAGTTTATATGTAATTAAATAATTCAGTTCATATGTTTATATAATGATTAAATAGGGAATGACCATTTTAATTTAAACTATCATTAAAATAATATGAACTCTGGATTGAACAACTAAAATTCTTTATTGCAGCAACTAACTCCTGCTTAACTTGAGGAATATTAACAACAGTTTAGGTATGATTGTATATCTATTTTCCCCTTATTATATTACATGATTAGCTCTAATCATCTATTCGGCAATTAATTACTTATTTTAGATAATAACAACTTTTGAATACCTTCCTGAATTTTAAACCATTAGGATTTCCAAGCTTATTCCAATAATTTCAAGACAATGTCAATAGAACTCCTTAAGCATTAGATCTGTTAAATATTAATTTTGGTAAGAATTCATCAAGTTCATCTTCTACTATAATCTAATGACCTTATAGTTTTTAATTTTACTTTATTTTATGTAGGTTTAGGGAATGCATTAAATAGTTTGGATTACTCAAAAATTTTACAGAAAAGCCTTTAGATGACAAATCAAGCTTCTTTGAATCCTTTCCTTACTAGTCAATTGTTCTACTAGGTAGGACTAGGAAATTAAAAGAATTCCAATAATATTCATAATCCAATTACTGTTGAGGATGATGAACCACAGTAAGTTTAGAAATGTCACAATTAAAAATGCAATAATAAAGGTGATCGAAAAGCAAAATCAAAAAAGGGTGATTCTATTTAATTTTGTGAGAAATGCTTGAGATTATACACTCGTGGTAATTATTGTGATTTTTGTGAATAGGTATTATGAATTATTATAGAATTTTTTTTAGTTATATTCAAATGGTGCTAATGATTAAGATGAATAGGAATGGATATAATGTGATATTTGTGAAAAATGGGTAAGTTATTAAATAATTAAAAAGAACCACTTAAATTGTGAAGCCAAATTTAGAAATCAAAATATTAGAGAAGAAACTGAAAATAAAGTTTATCATTGTTTAAATTGTTCTAAAACTATAAAGAAACAATAATAATAGACAAATTCTCAATAATAATAAAAGAAATAGGAAAAATCTAATGAGGAATATCAACCAAAACAGAGATAAATAATAGAGTGTGAAGATAATAGAATTAGGGAAAAAAACATCAATTTTGTAGCAACAAAAGATAACAAAGTTTAATTTAGTAAATTAAATTATTTATAAATTTATCAGCATTCAGATTTAACCTTTGTGAGGATGAAATTAAATAAGATTTAGATTATCTTCGAAATGCTGGAAAAAAAATGATTAAGAAACAAAATCTAGTAGATTCTCCTTAAATGAAAATAAATTCTATACCACAATAATAACAATAACAATAAGAGGAGAAGGTAAGTCTTTATTTTTAAAATTAGAATGTTGAATTGTAAGTGAATAGCAGACTCAGAACAAGACCAAATAATAAAAATAAAGTCAATTACAGATATTTGGGTGGTGAATGAATGACAATTAGTATATGAATTGAAATTTTAATTTAAATATCACTCATATAAAATCAAAATTAAAATTATTTCTAATTTGAGATTTTATCAAACAATAGCTTTATAAGAAGTTTAATTTATTTATAAATATTTTTTAATTTCTGTATTATTTCTTTTAATTTTTCGGAAATAAATGTAATTATTTAAAAATAGTGTGGTTAAGCAAGATAAAGATTAACTTCTTAAAATTAAAGTATCCCTAAAAAATTGAATTTAGATAATTTAAAATTAAATTAATATGTTTCCTAATAAAATAAATTTTATAAATTCAAATAAATCGTTAAAAATAACTGAGTCTTAAAAAATCTTATGTTATTTTATTGATGTGTTGAAACTAAAGCCCTAGTAAAGGATCATGGTTGAGGTTCAGATGAAAAGCACAACATAAGTACTTTGCATTTGAAGTAAACCAGTAACAGAATTCGGTTTTTGCAACGATATAATTGAAACAAGTTTTAGCACAATAAACTGTGATTCCACTTTCATTGATAAAATAATAATTGTAAAGGCTGTTTTGAAAGAATTGATATTTTTATAAAAACACTAATATTTTGCAGGGTAAAATAATTGCAAAATTAATATTTGAAGAATTGAAGATTGTTTTCAAATTAATTAAAGTTAATGATAATTAGATGATATATAAAGAATATTTTAAATAATTAATGCATTGAACAAACATGATAAATTAAAGATATGTCTGAATAGTATGAAGATTTAAGCTGAAACTATGATCATTGAGGAAGGAAGAAGAAATATGTTATGTAATATTTTAGTTTCTGTTGGTACATTAACTAGAGCTCAAGATAATATGATACATGAATAACTAAGTATTTTCATTCAAATAATCTCATATGTTACATTTTATTAGCAGTTATCTTAAACACATAAACAAAAAAGGAATTAGATTGAGCTATTGATAATAGTTAAGGGCCTTTTTTGAAACTTTAATTTTAAGGATAACAAAAATAAAAATTCTGAATTTTTATTCTTAATATTCTCTTCTTTAAAAAAAACCAACATAAGTGATTAATCAAAATGCTTTTTAGATTTTTCACCATCAAATTAATAACTCCTATTTATTCAATAGCTTTAAAAAGGCTCAGTCAAATTTGTTATAAACTAACAGAGTGATAATTTTTAACAACATAAAATTAAACAAAAATTTGAACAGATATATAAGATTTTCATTATTAATTAATATCTTAAATGTTTGTAACCCAATTTAAAGATCAATTTTATTCAGAATTTAGTCAAGTTACATAAAGAAGGTACTTTCTCTCAAAAATTGAATAATAAATATTGAGTATATAATCTAATTATTAAATTTATTAAATGTCAACAACAAAAATATATTATGTGCCTGAACCTCTAAAGCCTTCACCTAATTATCGAGAAATTGTCAAGTAGTGAAAGAATTTATATAGAAAATTAATAGATTCTAGACAAGAGGATAAATCAAAAATCGACGAGTATTTAGATCATTTCCAACCTACAATTGATGAAACAAGAGAGAAACAAGATTAATATTTAGGCAAAAGGTATTTTTTCTAATTTATTATATGAGATATCGATCAATTCTATAAGCTCTTGAAAGGGCCAAGAATAACTTAATTAAGTACAATTTGTCTTTGTTGGAATTGCAAGATAAAATTGAAAAAAGTGTAGAAATAAGAAAAGTACTTGAAGATGTCAACAACTATAAAACTTATAGTGAAGCATTNCTGAATAGTATGAAGATTTAAGCTGAAACTATGATCATTGAGGAAGGAAGAAGAAATATGTTATGTAATATTTTAGTTTCTGTTGGTACATTAACTAGAGCTCAAGATAATATGATACATGAATAACTAAGTATTTTCATTCAAATAATCTCATATGTTACATTTTATTAGCAGTTATCTTAAACACATAAACAAAAAAGGAATTAGATTGAGCTATTGATAATAGTTAAGGGCCTTTTTTGAAACTTTAATTTTAAGGATAACAAAAATAAAAATTCTGAATTTTTATTCTTAATATTCTCTTCTTTAAAAAAAACCAACATAAGTGATTAATCAAAATGCTTTTTAGATTTTTCACCATCAAATTAATAACTCCTATTTATTCAATAGCTTTAAAAAGGCTCAGTCAAATTTGTTATAAACTAACAGAGTGATAATTTTTAACAACATAAAATTAAACAAAAATTTGAACAGATATATAAGATTTTCATTATTAATTAATATCTTAAATGTTTGTAACCCAATTTAAAGATCAATTTTATTCAGAATTTAGTCAAGTTACATAAAGAAGGTACTTTCTCTCAAAAATTGAATAATAAATATTGAGTATATAATCTAATTATTAAATTTATTAAATGTCAACAACAAAAATATATTATGTGCCTGAACCTCTAAAGCCTTCACCTAATTATCGAGAAATTGTCAAGTAGTGAAAGAATTTATATAGAAAATTAATAGATTCTAGACAAGAGGATAAATCAAAAATCGACGAGTATTTAGATCATTTCCAACCTACAATTGATGAAACAAGAGAGAAACAAGATTAATATTTAGGCAAAAGGTATTTTTTCTAATTTATTATATGAGATATCGATCAATTCTATAAGCTCTTGAAAGGGCCAAGAATAACTTAATTAAGTACAATTTGTCTTTGTTGGAATTGCAAGATAAAATTGAAAAAAGTGTAGAAATAAGAAAAGTACTTGAAGATGTCAACAACTATAAAACTTATAGTGAAGCATTAACAGAGAATATTAATAAGTTATAATATCAAATTTCTGAACATACTAATAGATGCAAAAATCTTAAAAGAGTTATAGAGTATAAACATGCAGCACTTAATAAATAAAATTCAAAAAATTTAGTTCTTTTAAGGGAAATTAATGCAGCCAGACATTAATAGAAAAAATAAAAGAAAACTTCAGACACTTAAAGAAGTCAACAATAAACGACATTTTATCCATAAAAACCATTAAGTTAGTCTAGTTAAAAGTAAGAACAGTTAAATGATCCTTAAATTAATTAAATTAAATATGAGAATAAATAAATGAGATACCAATTAACTTCTTATAGAAATAATAAATATTTAAAGATGGAATTATTTAATGAATGTATGGAAGCATATAAAAGGTATGATGTAATATTTAATTTTTAGATATTTTTCTAAATCTTAAAAAGTAGTGAAAAATTCTGGATTATAACACTCCCTAATTTTTTATATTTAAAAGGCACAATTCTCATTATAAGATAATGCTGCAAATAATAGATATAATCATAAGAATTTAAAAAGTGTGATGGCAGGTAGGTAGATTAGAAATCTAGTTCATGATACCCTTAAATAAATGGCAGAAGATAAATAAAATAAAAAAAATCCATCTTTTGATAATTTACAATTAGAATGGGAAATATATAAAGACTATAGTGCTATGCAAATAGTAGCTTTAATGTGTTTGAAGCCTAAAATATTTAGTGAGTTGGCTTAAATTTTTTAACAAGAAGTTTTACATTGAATGATAAATTATTAATGTCTACCCAAAATTGTAAAAATGAAAAGAATATTCGATTATTAATTTTTTTAAATGATAAAAGGACTTAAAACCAAGATCAAACATTAAAGATTCTTTTAGATGATAAGTTGGCAATTAATTTATCTGCCATTTTTTTATCTTCATCTTCCCATTCATCTTTAAGGATATTTTAAAATGAATATTTTTTGATAGAATCTATTTTTCTATAGAGTTCTCTTTCTTACATATTTAATAGGAAGTTTCTCCATAACTAACCTTTCGATAACTAAAATAGTAAAATAAATACTGTTAATCCATTGCCTATAACAAATAAGGCATATTTAGCTCTTGTTAATGCTACATTAATTCTTCTTCCATCACTTAAGAACCCTATTCCTTTACAATCGGATGATCTGACACAACTAAAAATGATAATATCTTTTTCTTAACCCTTAATTTAGATTAAGAAATACCTAAAAAGAATCAACCGTATTAACAGTTAAAATTTTGTTATCCACATCTTTTATGCTTGATTTACTTGACTTAATTAATGATTAAATTAATTTAACTTAAGCTTTGTAGGATGATATAACACCTATTGTTTAATTTTCAAAATATTCTTTTATGTTTTATAACAACTAAATTACTATATTAGCTTCTTTCTCATTAATAAAAGAAGTGTTATCTCTTTTTTCTTATCCATCAATAATATCTAAAAATAGCATTTTTTTTTAAAAATAATTTTTTGGTAATTCCCTATGTATTACTGATTCATGATCTATAAGTTTGTTTTTGTAAAACTCAAAAGATGGGAATTTTCTGATTTCACTGTCCATTCTATATTGGACATTTAAGAAATAAGGCTAGAAGTTGTTATCTAATATTCTTTCAAATAGGCTTCTATTGTATAAATTTGCACTTGATTTAACAGAAAAAGTAGTTGCAGCTAATTATTTTGGATCTCCAATCAAAATCATTTTTTCAACACCCAATCTTAATGGAATAATATTAGATGGCTCAGTACATTAAGCAGCCTCATCTACTATTAATAATTCAATTTAATCCAGATATTTAGACAATTTATCAGACCCGCTTGAATTTAAAGTGCTACAAATGATCTCACATTCATTCAAGATCTTTTCACAAAATTAGATATATTATTCTTTATATAATATTTTATTTGTTTTCATTCTTTCTAATAGTTTTTATTTTATTGATAATTCTTATTTCAAATTTGATAATTATTCAATATTTATAGGTTCTTAATTTTTCATCTTTTATATTTTCTTTATTTAATTTTAAATTTTGCAAATTTCTATTCTTAAGTCAGCAGTTGTCTTTTAGTCTGTCTCCTACTTTACAATTTGAGATTTTAACAACATACTTTAAGCTAAATATTCTAAAGAGACCTTTTTAATTGTATCTGAATAATCACTTTATTCATCGATCAATCCTATTCTAATTAATTTAACTTATGGGGGCTTACCCTCAGAATCAAATAAACTATCTGCTCTCATAATTCTTAATATAATTTCATCAATTGCTGCATTTGATGGAGCGCATATCTAATTATTAAATTAACGCAATACCAATATTTTTTTTCTTGGAAATTTATCTGTAATTTTCATGTATTCATAAGCTCCAGATAATAGACCAATTAAAGTTTAAGTTTTACCAGTTCCAGGCTAATTTTATCAATAAATTTTACTGGTCCTTAAAGTAAGCTTATTCCCTTCTCTTGTTATAATATTTCTTTTATAGATTTAGCTTAACTTTAATTATATTTTTGATCAACCAATTTAAAAAATTTATTCAAACATTCAATATTTGATATCTAATTACTAAATTATGCTGTCCATGAACCCCCTATTTCAGTTCCTAATAAATGCTATTATTTGTTTGGATCATAAATTATGTTAATTAAAGGTGTCATCATATAACGTAACTATGTAAGAGTTTAAAACTCTCTAATTATAGTAGTTATCTTAATAAATGGTATGAGAAAAACATTATACCACTTAGATTAAATGATTTATGATCTATTTATAAAAGTTTGAAGTCTCATCTGCGAAATTGATGTTGCTTTTTAAGGTTCAATTAGTATTCCAAAAAAAAGCATTGTTTTATCATTTATTTCATTTAACTAACTCAATTTAATTTGAAATTTATTGCTAATAATTACTAAATAATTTTTTAATGATGGCAATTCACAGTGTCCATCTTCAATATCTTCAAAACTTACTCCTTTTACACCTAAATTTTTTTAATTATCTATATTATTTTCCAGAGATTAGCTAAATTCTATTTTTTATTCTTCATAAACCTTTCTTATCTAAAATATAGTTTCATCTCTATTAACCTCTTAATCATCTAATTTTATTTAAATTTTTCTATATCTATTATGTTTATTCATTTTGAATATAAATTCAATAAAATTTTGTTTAATCTAAGTGCAAGCTTCATTTAAAAAAAATTATTAAAAAATTTTACTATATTGCTCCCAATTTTAAAATTGTGTTGGTATTTTATTAATTTCAAATTCTTATTTTGTTGATTCAAAGTAATCTTTCGTAAATATATATTTTAGTAGTTTATTATATTCAAAATATTTATTGTCATTTTATTAATAATTGTTAATATGTTCTTCAAAACTGCTTTTTAATTAGACAGATCTTTTAAAATCAATAGTATTTTTTTTCTATATTTTAATTGAACAAAATGATTGTCCTTCTTTAAGTAGTTCATCTACTTATTTTTGTCCTTGCACCTACAAATAAATATTATCTAAAGAATCTAATTTTTTTCTTTCTAACTCTTATTCCCTTAAAAATAAGGATTATTTAATCTCTCTATTATTTATTTTATTTCTTTTTAATTATTCTTAATTTTCACCATTTTTTTTCTTTTTGGAGGAATCATAAAATATACAATCTGCAGCAAATGCTACTTTTTTAGGCTCATTATTATTAAAAATATTAAGAGACTTATTAAGTGTTTTTATTGATTATTATTAGTTTAATGCAAATTAATCAATTATTTTATTATTTAACTAATATTTTGTTGCTAAAATTTCATTTGATTTATTATTTTCTATTAAGCAAAGGTATGATTCTTTCGAAACTAAAGGATTCTTAAAGTTATGGCTTGATAAATTATCAAAATAACCTTGATCCTAATTCTACTCATCTAAAAAGGTCTTAGAAAAATTCTTTTTCAAAAGTTAAGTACTATTATTATATTTTTAACGTAAATCATCATTCTAATTAAGTTGAATAGACTATTACTTATAAAATAAATCTTTTGGATTCCTTTTAAATTTGAAATATAGAATTGTCTTTTCTTTTCTCATTTTAGTTATAACTTTTAAAATCATTTAACTATTTTAAAATGTTGTTTTCCTTCATTTTTATTATTATTAATTCAAAAAGATGGAGTAATTTATGTCATTATTAGAGATCTGATTAATTAACTAATTTTTTGGTCAAATTTTCAAAGTATTTTTTATTAAATTATAAAGTTTAAATACATAGTACTTGTTAATTTGCTTAAAAATCAGAGATTCAAGTAAAAGAGATATAAGTTCTTATTGGTGATTTATCTTTTAAAATGTAAATTTTGGTTGTTTACAATGTTAAAAAATGGAGTTTGATAATTTTTTGCACATAATTTCTAAATAATATATATTTATTATACTTATTTTAATTTATTATAAAATGGCAAAGAAAAAATAACAAATTGAAGTTGTAGAATTTACAGAGGCCGAAAAGAAAGCATTAGAAAAATTGTAAAAATAGTGTTTAAAAAATAAATTAGAGATCACTCTCATCTATTAATTGAAATTTAAGTTTTATAAGATCGTATAGAGGAGTTATAGAAAAAGATTTATGAATTAAATGAAAATATTAGAAAGACTAATGAGTAAAATGTATAGCATTTATGATCTTATGTTTAGTTGGCGTTGACTTTAAAAATGGAATCTGACATCATAAAAAAAGAAAGTGAATATAATGCATTGTTACAGTAATATGAAGACTTAAAAAAATAAACAACAGAAGAAATAGAAAGTGTCATACAGAGAAAAGATGAAAAAATAAGATGTAATTTTATAATTGAATTGCTTAGATTTGGAAAAAGAGAAAAATGAATAAGAAATTAGACATAAAGATGAATTATAAAAGATAAATGAAGAATTAAAAAAGTGGAGTTAATATAAAGTATATTAAAATCTATATATTTAGGAAGAGAAAGAAAATTTAATAAAGGAAATTCATGATTTAAGAGAGGAAATGGTGAAAAAAGATTATGCTCATTTAGATGAATAAAGCAAAGCTAATAAAAATTTTTTAAAGTAAACACAAAATTTGACAAATGTAAATAATGCTAAGATTGAAGATGTATAAAGAAATGCAAATAAATTAGCAGAAGAAAAAGTAGCTGCTAAATATGATGGAATACTTAAGGAAAATGAGAAAATAAAGAGTGAATTATTGGAATATGAAAAAACTTTGCAAATATATTAAAAAGATAAAGAAACCTTTTAATAGGAAAACATAAACTATAAATTAAATTTAAGTATAAAAGAAGAATAAGCTTAAGAGTAAAAATTATATTTATATCTTTAGATATTAAATGATGAATCATTAACAAATAATAAAAATAAAGTAGTTAAAAGAAAGAATAGAATATTTGAAATCATACATAGCAAATGTAATAATATCATTGAATTATTAGGAAGTTACAAAACAGACAAAGGAAATTGAAATAATGAAACATTAAAGTAATACCAAAGTTTAGGAATTAGAAATGTAATTGAGAAATTTGAGGCATCTTCTTGATCAAAGAACAAAAGAGTTAAAGACTGTAAAGGCTTTAGCTTAAATGATTCTAGATCAGAGATCAGATATAGAATAATTTTTCCTATAAGCAATCGATTAAGTAAAAAATGAGATCAAGAAAAAAAACAAAAATCAAAAGAACAGTCGCTTGCCAGATATATCATAAAAATCTCAAAGTTTAGAATAAAATAAAGTTGATATAAACGATTTAGATTTAGAAGAGAAGGAAAAACTATTAAGGATTCTCTTTTCAAAAATGAACTAAGGAGTTCCACCAATAAATTGGAAATCTTAACTTGGTCATGTATATATATAAAATTTAAATTTATAAGAGTAAATCTTAGGTAGATGCCAGTTCATTTAGGGATAACCAATATCAGTGATTGATAGAGATCTGATTTATAAATTATTATTATATAATATTGTATTTAAAGAGAAGATAATGGGGATATATTTTATATATATTTATCGTTTTTAATGAGAGTACGTTTTTGATTAATAATTATATGAAATTCATTATTGTTGTTTTATTCGCTCTTGCAGCAACAACTTATGCTTCAAAGACTTAAGATTAAATTCTTGCATTATTATAAGTAAGATTTGTTATTCAGGTTGATAGACTGGAACAAAAGCAAGTGATGCTATTGATACAGTTTTTGGATTACTCAATGATTTAAAGCAATCAAATATCGATGCTCAATTTGCTGCAGATTAAAAGAATGAAACAGATGAATGGGTTGGTGCATAGTAAATAATAATAATAATAAATATAGAACAATTGAATAATTCACAAAGATTAAAAGTCTCAACTAAAAACTTTTTAATTAAGCTATTGAGAATAGAGCCAACTATGAAGAAGTTCTTAAATAAACAAAGAATTATTTAGCATGGAATGAAGCTAGAAGAGATGAAATAGCAAGAAAAGTTGATGCTCTCTAAGATAATTAATGCTTTAGTAATTAACTTTTTGTTAAATCCATTAAACATAACTAAGAAGCTCTTGAAGTTATTAGACTGTTGAAATAAGATGTTGCAGGTTATATTATTAATGGAGATTCATTTGAATTTACTTAAGTTAAAGCATAATCTGTTGCCGAGAAACTAAAATAATATAGCAATTTATTCTAAGATCATTAAATTAAATCCTTTTTGGCTTTAGCTAATGCATAAGAAGTAAAATAAAATATAATCCTTTTTTAGGAAGGAGTAACCTCAGGTTAAGGATCTACCTTAGCTGAAAAAGTTTTGAGCGTTCTTGAAGGATTAGAATCTGAGTTAGAAGCTTCATTAGAAAACTTAAAATAAAATGAAATTAATGCATCATGGGAATTAGCTGGATGGGTTTCATTATCTGAAGCTGAAATCTCTTCATTAGAAGTTGAATATGAAAGAAAATAAGTTTTTGCTGATAGAACTGCTACTGTAATTTATATTTTTATAATTTTAGTAAATCTAAGCTGCTTTAGCTTAATAAGCTAAATCAAAGATTATCTTATAAGAATCTCAAGATGCTTTGGATTAAGCCTAAGCTGATTTAGAATCCAAAAGAGTTGATTATGCTGAAGCTAAAGCTAAGAGAGAAGAAGAAAATGCCATTCTTGATGAAGTCATCATTATGTTCAAAAAATAAGTTGCCTCTTGGTCTGGAAGATGAAATTGATATTAATTATCATGTATTTCATTAAATTATCAAAAATATAATACAATCTTTTATTAATTTAATTTTTATGATTACTAACATTAGAGAACATAAAATTATTAATGGTTTTACTAGACCAAAACACCCTTACTAAGTGTTTACTATCATATTTTTTGCACAATTATTCTGTTGTGTATCAATTGCAATACTTCCTATAACTAATTTACTTTTCTAGGTAAGGAACATCGTTAAACAGATTATTTTAGCATCTTTATTCTATTTTTTAGCTTTAATGATCTTTATATATGGTTTTAAAACTTCCTATATAGATCCAACTGATGATATAATAATATAATACAGAAAAGGTCTCAATAAGTATCTTTAATTAATTTAAATTTAGTGGATAAGATCAAGAACTCTATGATTATTTTTGTTAACATTGTGATTGCTATGTAAGTGTTACAACTAAACATTGTAAAGTTTGTGAAAGGTAAAAATTTATATAATACAGATGTGTTTAAGATTTTGATCATCATTGTAAATGGCTAAACAATTGTGTAGGCAAAAAGAATTATGAAGAATTCTTTAGATTATTAGTTTTTGTTTCTCTTTTCGGTGTTACCTTTATTATTTTTGCTGTTTTTTCTTATTTTTTTGAAACTCCTCAAATAATGATATGGATTTGGATTAATGTTACCTTAGTAAGTCTCTTTTTCCTACTTAACTTCAATTTAATGATTTTTCATTTTTGGTTAAAATTTAAAGGAATTACAACATACAAATGGATTATGTAAAATAGATAAAAAAGATTTTAATAACAAATTTAAAATGAAATTCCTAATAGATTCTTGTAAGATTATTTTACATTAGAATTAGTTGTAGTTTAAAAAAAAATAAAAAAACTCAAGTAAATCCAAGGTTAGATTAAGAAGAAAATTAAAGTAACAAATAGTAAAATATTGAAATAAAATAAAATGAGGAATAATGCCAAATAAAATAATAAAATGTCGAAATAGAAGCAGATTTTGATTCTATCCATCATAAGAACTCAAAAAGAAAATTTAGTTCTCATACAATAAATCCTTAAATTAATAGTTAATTATAGGATTGATTATCACATATATATTTTATTGTGTACCATATGTCTATACAATTAATCAATTTTGTAAAGTTTTTAAAATAATTTTTTTTATCATTTCTATTTGAACTCCTCTCTCCTCTTCCTCTAAAATATTTTATATACATTTCAGGAAAATCATAATGATTCTATTACCTATAAATTGGTGAATAATCTTTCTTAAAGATATCTTTAAATTAATAATAAATATGTGAGGATATTTTTGCCATAGTGTCTCTTTTAATCATAAAAGTTGGAATTATTACTTCTGGCATAGTTGGATCATTTTATCTATTAAAAAAAATTTAATTTATGCTCTTCAATATCCATCCTTCAGCTTCCTGATTAAATTTGAGCTAATGATGTTATGTTTAAAACAAGAGGTTTCCCCTTAAGTTACTAAAAATTGTTATTTTTTAAAATTATTACTGCACACAGAGCTGGATTTATCTTTTTATGTAGAGTCATTCAAGCATATTATCACATATACAATCTCGATTTTTAACAGCTTCAGAATAGCTTAGATGATAAGTCTCGTTTTATATAAGTATTTTAAATAATTTTGATACTATTTCCTAGGAATCTTTTAATTTTCTTATTTATATGTATCTGATTAATTATTATCAATTTGTAATTTATTTTTCCTTATTATATTGGTTGTTATATATTTAGATTGGTCAAAAAATCTATAGATTGTTTTTATACAAATCCCTCTTCTAGATTTCTTGATTGTTCTTAAAATTCTTTTTGTTTTTTAGTTTATTCCATTATAAATAGAAAAAATAAATTTATACTATTATTTTCTCTAAGTTAATATTTTTGTATCAATTTGTTTAATAGTTTCTGGTATTGGAATGGGTTCAGGGAAGTACTCAATATATCCTGAATAAATACAGAAGAAATACATTGAATTTATGGTTATGGAAGCTTGATTAGTTCTTTAATTATCTTAGGTTTACGGCTGCCTTTCTATAATTTTATATTTAGAAAAACAGTTGTGCATTTCTTATTTAGGGATGAGTATTAACATCTTCTTATCTAATTAAAATTTTGTCGGTTTTGTAGAGGATTTAAGTTTTTCTTCTTCTTTATAAAAATAACAATTTGATATATTTATTTAGTTAAAATATAAATGTTTACAAATTAAAAGTCATAAAATTTTTTTAGAATTATATAACTTGTTTATGGCCTATTTTCCATTTAGTTCCTTATAAAAATTTTATAATTTAAAGATATTTGCTAATTAAACACGTACATCATCATCTAAAAGAAGTATTTCTAAAAAGGAAAGTAAAAGTTCAAGCTAATTATCATTTTATTGACCTTCAAATGGTAATATTGGAATGCCGTTATTAATTTAAGCTCTTAAATAGAAAATGAATATACATAAATTTTTTGGGGGAATTTTCAACAATTACAATATCTTTGAGATCAGTTTGAAAAATTCTCAAATCTTTAACATTACCAATCATATGTTCTGATGTACAAGTGGCTTTGAACAACTTTTTATTTGGATCTATTATTTTTAACATCTTTAAATTTATCAATTAAATTACGTTTATTGCGTGCTCTGATTTAGCAGCAGTGAAAAGTACTAAAATACAGATTCTTGATAATCTTTCTAAGAATTCATGGCAAAATGGTCGAACTTAAGTCTTATGATGCTTATGATAGATTAATGTTTCATCTAAATCCAACACAACAACTTTTTCATCTAAAAATAAGTATTTAACTAAAAATTTACATTTTTGTTTCTTAAGCTTCACGATACGTTTATCTAAATATTCTTTAGGTGTTTCTACATACCAATGTGATTATAGTGATGCTTCATGAAGCTCTCTTGCGATTTAAGAATCAGAGGGTATTTAGTTTCTAAAAACCACTAATTACGGTTTTTCTTAATTCCCCGAAGAATCAGGAGTTGTTTCTGCTGTATTAATCAAATCTTAATCATCAAAAGTGAAGATTTTTTTTTATTATAGCACTTGACAGGATTTTGTATGTTAAGCTATTCTCATATGATCTAACTAAAAAGGTTAAGATAATAAATTAAATTTAATAATTGTTTTTAAGTCAATAATATAATCCAGAATTAATCACAAATTTTTATGTAATCTGATCATTACTTTTCAAAGTTTTTATGATACATGAAATCAAATAAGTATTATTCTTTTCATTTTATTTTATTTAATTTATGTTCTATATATAAATTCAAAACTAAATTGGAAATTTAAAAAGGATATTGAATGATGTGTTTTATAAATGTTTTAAAATTTATATTTAAATATTATAATATATTTGTTATATAATTTAATAATTCTCTCTTTAAAATGTCTTTAAACCAAGAATACCAGAAAGAACTAAAGTTGGCTAAGTTTGCAGATGAATAATTACTAAAAACTAAATTCATAACTAAATTGAGAAAACCGTCAATGAAACATGATCATGATAGCATGATACAAAATAGTATTTTTTTTGAATAAATTTAAGTTTTTAAGCTAGATGGATAATTTATAGAAAAGAATTTAAAATGTAGATTATGTTAAGATTATTTTCAAAAATTTACAATAACATTTTGTGGACATTCATTTTGTTATTTATGTCTTTTTGAGCATTTATTAAAAAGTCACGTATTTATTTGTCTTAGATTTTAGAAATGCCCTTGTTGTTTTACTAAAATTAAAGGACTTTAATTTGTGTATTGTAAAACTATAGATGGTTTTATATAGTCTTAAGTAATTGTATCTTCTTAAAAACATATTGATAACTATCATTCTCGTAAAAATGTATTAAAAGAATGGAAAGCAAAAAAGAAAATTAAGAATTTTAATATAGGAGATTCATTAGATGTTTTGGATTCTGAACATATTTGGTGTGTAGGTAAAATCTTAAAAATCAAATAAAAAAAAAGAAATTAAATTTTAATTCATTATTAAGGTTAGAACAAAATATATGATGAATATATATCAATTAATTCACCTAGATTATCTACTTTAGGATTGTTTACAAATAGAAAAGGTATAAATATGATATTTATAATAGACATTTTATTATATTAACCAAGTCTAAATGAAGAGTTGTTATAAATTTACTTAAGATATCTGGAATAATTATAAAACAATGAGACAAGTTTTATAGACTATTTAATTTCGTAAAGATAAAATTAAAATCAAAATTTAATCTTCGCTTTTTAGTCAAATGGCAGAAATACTATATCTAATTTGTTCTCATTAATAATATATAATAATTAAACGATCAATGATTCATTTTGATTAGTTATTTTAATATTTATTTTAATATTTATTATCAATTGGATATCAAATTTATCACTAATAGAAGTTTATAAATAATATAAATTAAATTAAATTACATAATGTAATCCTATAAAGAAGCCTTATAACTGTTTTAGAAAAATTCAATGAATTTGCCAATGACTGAACATGAAGAAAAATTAAATGTATTAGTAATTAAAACTAGATTATGTTAGAATATCTATTACATGAATTAGAAAAAGACAAGAAAGAATTATAGATGTTGAGATAAGAAATAATACATGAATCATATCTTTAATCATCAATAAATGATGATACATCAACAAACTTTATTGAAGAGATAGCTGATTTTACACGTAAATTTAGAAAATTGGCAGATGAAGCAAATACTGAAATAACTGAATTAAACACTTAAGTTGATAACTTAAAAAATGAAAAAGCAAGAATTAAGAAATCAGCAAATCTATTAGATCATAGAGTATTTGAAATGGAAAAAGTATTAGGAGTAGGATTAAATACAGTTCAATCATAAGAAGCAAACATTTGAAATTTATTTTCATATCCTAATTTATATTTAAAATCTCTATCTAAATAACTTTAAAAAATTGAGTAACTTTTATAGAAAGATTTAAATATAGATCTTTAAATATAATAAAAATTATTTGTATTATTATTTTAGATATTTATAATTCTAAAATTAATATGATATTTTGTTTGATTTAATAATTAAATTATTATTATTTATATATTGAGAGTTAATTCATTTGTGAACTTAATAAGTTCTATTGTTTAGTTCTTCACTCTCAATCTGATCATCAATATTATCATATTTTTAAGAAGGTTTCTAAATAGGCACTTATTATGATTAAAAGTTTTCTAAATCAATTTATTGTTATGGTGTTAGATTTACCTATTGTATAACTCTTTAATTTTAATTTTACTGCATTTTTGAAATATAAGGGGCTTAATAGTTTTTTTATTAATCTAAAGATTACTATTTAATTGGACTTTAAATTGACTATTAAAGAGGGGGATCAATAGAATTAGACTATTCCAAAGAAGCTGAAGGCTCATTATTGTTTAATTAATATTAATTTTCTAAGAATTGATTTGGAAATTCTGATTAATCAAGTTATTTAGCTCCTAATTATTGTTAAAGATTCAATTCTTATTATAAATTAAATTAAGGCTTAAAATACATATATAAATTGGAATTATCTGATTTTGTTCCTAATTAAGATTAATTAACTGTGGAAAAAGTAATTAATCTAAATTTTGGTTCAATTTTCTATTTAAGTTTTTTATCTAAACAAAAAGAAAATGCAGTGCATTCAAGTAAAGCAAATACAACAAACATTAAAAACATAACAAAACTTAATCTCCATTATGAATCAATATTATCTAATTCATTATTAATAAAAGTTTCTGTTTAGGTATCACTACAATTTAAATCAGAAGATATCTATAAAAATAATCTAATATCGACCCATAATCCAAATGTTAATGTAATCATAGTTGAATGAAAATATTAAATAAATATCTTAACAATTAATAATCCTTAATGAACACTTTTATTTGTTGGAGCTTAATATTGAACTTACAAAAAGTAATACAATGATTAAACAAATCCAATCAAACCAAAATGAATTATACTCATTATCATTAATATTGATAATACTGGATAAATTGCATTACTATCTTTTAAAGTTCTTATTCCCCAACCTATTAGATTTTATTATCTACATTCAATACTATATTATGTGTAACTTCGAGAATACACACCAACCCTTATAATAATAATTATTTATATACTTATCAGCAGTATTGGAAGTAAATCCATTTGAAGTTGCAAATGTCATTTCATCTATTTAATTCAAAAGAATATAAGCTGTATCATTCTCACAAAATGCATTTGAAAATATTGTGTCATAAATTGAATATTAATTAATAACACATGGATTTGTACCATAAATTTATAATTAATTTATTGGTAGTTATTCTGCCAAAGTAGATGTAACCAAATAAAAATTATCATTTATTTTTATCTAATTTGTATATTTCGTTTTATCAATTTTCTTCAACTCTTTTCATAATATTCTATTATACCTTCTCCAGTTACAAATAACATACTATTTATTGGACATTATCCTTTTGGAGCACAATATTTATTCTAAACATAAACTCCACCACATAATTCTTCATTATCTAAACATTTTGGATATATTTAGTATTCTATAATCATTTAATAATGCTTACTTTATACAAAGTTATAATCTTTTAATCTTCTAAAACAAAGAGAAAATATTTAATTTGAATTCACCCATTTTGTATAATAAATCTAACCATATTACAATTTAAAAAAGTCTTCAGAATCAGATTCACAAATATCCTATTTATATACTTCATATATTGGATCGATTTCCCATTTTTATATTCTGTCAATATATGGTAAAGTAAGTTCACTATATTACTAATCAATTATTTTTAATTTTTAACATTCCAAGCAAAAATCGACAATATTAAGATTCCTAAAGTATATCCAAAAATAAATGATTAATAGACAATAGACAATCTTTTATATGTTTTCTTGTTGTTTTAAAATAAATATTTACATGTTTTGAATCAAAATTTACTTAAAAACACATTTCTGCTTTTATAAATAATTATTTATTTAATCAACTCTTATTTCACTCATTTATTATTATTAGTTAATCTATATTTTGATAATCTTTCATTAAACACTATTAAAGAAATATTAAACATTAATTTTTATAATAAAACTAATTAAAAAGGATTGAAGAACAGTAGTGGATATCATTTAATAAATTCTATTTAATAAAATAAAGGAATTATATTTATCAAATAATTCTTACTAATAAAGAATGGAAAGCTTTAATTTTTATTACTAATGCTAACAAATTAATAATTATTTTTTAGAATATAACTAAAATTCAAATAACTTTGAATTTTAAGTAGAAATTAATGATTTTTCTAGTAAATAAATCATGAGTTTAATAAAACTATACTTGTTCCAATTTAAATTAATTTATGCTTATAATAAAAATATTTAATGAATTATTATTATTAAAATTAAGTTTATGAGTGACGATTCAGAAAGCCTTGAATTTCCAAATACCCCTTTTTATAGTTTTGTATTTTAATAGTTTATAAAAAAACTTAGAATATCTCAGTGGGATTAACATTATCATTAACAAAATTATGTGCAAGCAAATGTAGATTATTCAAACCAGATTTGGGTGTAAAATTAAATGATAATGATGTTCAATGCATTTGTAATAAACATATATTATAAATATATATAAGAAAATTGTGCTGCAGCCATAAATAATAATTATTCCACATTTTCAAGTTAATTAAAAGAGTCTATAAATTTCGAAGATTCATTAGGAGCTTTCGAATAAGAAGAGTGAGACATTTAAAATATAATCAATATAAAAAATAAATAAATTTAAAAATAGAATGTAAATATTAAAAATTTCATATTATTTTAATCTATTCTAATTATATAAACAGAATGGTTAATGAATATGTTAAAATAATTAAGTTTTTTCAATATAAGTCTCTTTAAATTATTAAAATTTTATAAATTAACGTTATATGTTTTAAGTTTTAAGAAGTGTGTTTGAAAGTAGAAATGCTTTTGAAAATTATTGGTGTCACCTTTGTAAAATGGAAATAATTTAAAGAACTTACCTTTAAGAAGAAAATTAATAGGAGTATTGCATCTTATGCGAAAGTCCATTAGAATAGTTGACATAAGATATTAATGAAACAGAATTACGTTCTTTTGAGATTTATGTATCCCCAGAAGCATAGTAATAAAGAACATTATCAAATTGGACATAGAGCTTAAGTGATATTTCTGAATTTCTAAATTTTCTAGCACTTTTAACAGAGAATTTAATTTTCTTAGAAGAACAATAGTAAGGAGCAACAGAATAATAAATAAATAGTTTAAGAGAACATGTTGTTAACATAGAAGATTAATAATAAACATGTTATATTTGTTAAGAAGATTTTTAAAATGATGAATTGGAATTAGAAATGAGTTGCTCTCATAATTTTCACAAAGATTGCTTAACATAATGGTTAAAGATAAATAATTCTTGTCCAGTATGTAGAGCAAAAATAAATTGATATTTATTAATAGTTACTAAAAAATATAGATTCATTTATTTAATCTTTCTGTTTTATGAATGTCTTCTGTAGATTAAAAACTGTAAATTGGTATATTAATATTACTTAGTTCTTAATCATCAATATCTTTTTTAGGTGATTCTTCTAAATATTACTATTTAATTTAAGATAGGAATTTTTGAATTTCATTTTGTTAATCAAACTAATTTTGCCATTTTTACTCAGAATTATTATTATTGTTATTAATATTATTCTTATGAAAATTACCTTATTTTATATTTTCTTTTAATTCATGATGATAAATAGATGTTTGATCTATTTAAATTTAAAGTTATTAACATTCTAAGAATTTTTCCTAATATTTCTATGACCATTCTTTATTTTATTTCATAAGATCATTTACATATTATTGAAGTGATTCATTTTATTTAATTGATTAAGCTAATTAATCTTAAATAATATTTAATTTATTTTTGAGACTTATAGTATCCTCATTTTTAATACTTTATCTATTTAAAGCATTTTCTTAAATAAATTATTTTAGAGTCATAATTTAAGTCTAAAGTTCTTTAATAATTAAATTGTCATTTCTCTTAAATTCTAATTAATGGATAGTAGCTAACAATTTTGTTATTTCTCTCTCTTTATTTAGACATAAGATAGATTTCTATTCTAAAATAGAACGTAATCGTGTTCTATCCTCATTTATAAAATCTAAAGCTTTTTCTAAGGATATAATTTTTTATTCTTTCAATGTAATTTCATTTCTTAACATTTGTAATTCAAATTCATGATTGATAATTTTGATTTTTTCTGGTGATGTTTAAGGTTAAGTTGGAATAGTTGAACCTTATTGTATAATTTCGAACATTTATTCTTATTACTTCGTTTGAGTAGTTTTAGAGGAAGCATGATAAGATTATACATGAGATTATTGAATTTATGAAGAATTGTTATTTACAGATGGATTTGAGTATTTTTGAGTAAATATTGGGGATTGAGTTCTGATAGGAGATGCTTAATTGGTTTTTTAAAACATTAACAACAGACAAATTAAAATTAATAAAATTCTTCATAAATATTACTTCAATATCTTTTTTGTATTATCTAAAGATGTAGGTACACTTGCTTTAGGAGATATATATTTGGTTTCTATTGTATCCATACGAATAGATCCATAACTTGTGGTTTGAATTGAATCTATAAAAATATCTTTTAGAGATTTTTTTTATTAAGGCTTTAATATTGATAATTCAACCTTTTTCTTTTATGTTTCTTTTGGTGAATTTAAACCTGAATGAGTTACTTAAGTTACCAATAATGAATTTTATAATTCAGTCTTTTGAGACATATTTTATAAAGGATATCTTACCTATTTTTTTATTATTGGTTAAGGGTTATAAATTAATTCTAAAATTTAATTAGAAGAATTCTTTATCAATCTTAAATTTGGATTATTTGATTCTACATTACTAATTATTTATTTGCTTTAAATTTTATTATTTTCATCAACATAAGGTTCTGTACTTAATGGTGCTAATTTGTGTAAATGCATATTTCTTATATTGAGTAGTTGATCTTATCGATTAAATTTATATAGTTTTTCATTTCCCTATCTCTTATGTGCTTCCGCAAATTAATTTTCTTCCTTTAATGATTTTACCCTATGTGAAGCACCTTTTAAGTAAGTCCTTTTAAAATTTGATTTTGTTATTGGGAGCCTTTATAAATCTCTATAACTACTAAAATCATTGTTAGTTGGCGTTTTAATTACTCTTAATTCCTTAACTGAAATAGATACTTAATTTGACATTTTAAAGTAACTTTTTATATATAATAATTATATAATATAATAATAATATTAACTATCTATCACTTTTAATTCCTCACTATTAACTATTACAAGATATTTGCATTCTCACACAGTATCTCTAAAGGTATTAATAAAAATAATTATTTAGTTCTAATTAATTCTTTATGTAAGTACACCCTTATATTTTTATTACTTATAATAATTAAAATCAGATAAAGTATGATCCCAAATATAAATCTTATTGTATGCACTAAATTATTCAAAGATAATTCTTATTAAGCTTCATCATACACAAAATCATGCAATAAAGTTAATACATGAGATGTATAAAAAAGATTTATTATATCATTTTCAAAAGTTGAAACTTCTATATTAGATAAATAAAATTTAATTTGTTCATCATTCTACTTTAAAATTGAATAAAATTATTCAAAATTTTGTTATATTCCAACTAATTAAATTGTTAATCCTTATGCTAAACTATCAAGATTTTTACAAATTTCTTTTTTAAAAAATTAACTCTCTCCAGATTTATTTGCAATTGTAAACTCAAAAGCCTAACAAGCATTATTTTTTATAGTATTTGTAAAGATTGTACTTAAAAATGATTTTTGATCATTCAATCTTTATAAAAAATCCTAAAGAACATCAAATTATATTTCCATATACTTTATTGCCTCTTCCCCTAATCATAAAATAACTTATTATTTTACATTTGTTAAGAAAAAGCATATTTTCTTTTTCTATTTACAAATATTTTATTACAAGCTTCTGATAACTCTTTTATTATAATAAATATGATTAGGAAGATTTGTATAGAAGTAATTATTTGAAGGAATATATTGTCTTTTCTTCAAATTAATTTTAATAAATTAATGAGCCAAAATATTATGATGAAATAATAAAGTAACTGAACAACAAAAATACAGAATATAGAAAATAAATTAGAGTAGCTAGAATCTAAAATAAAAAAATACTTTTACTGTTTTCTTTAGATTTATTATATTTTATTTTTATACTTTATTTTTTTGGCGAAGTCTTAATTCTAATTCCAGGATTAGAAGCAATTTTAGATTTTATTTACTCAAATTAATGTTCAGTAGTTTCTTCATTTGTAAAATCTATTTTCTCTAAAAAATTTCCAACTATAGAAATTTATTCTATTAAACAACTTATTTGAGCTTTAGAGATTGTATTTAATAATTCAACTATTTTTAATTTAGCTTTATTAATAATAATTAAAAGGACTAAGTAAAATATAAAAGCAAAACAAAGTGATATCAAAGTAAAATAAAAAGATAATTTTGTTGATTATTAAGCTGCCAAAAATTATTCAACACCATTCTTAAAGACAGTTGAATTTAATTCAGAATTAGAGGAAATTATTGTAATAAAATTTCTGGCTATAAATTCCAGAAAATATTCTTAATTAGTAATATTTGATTATGTAAGTAAATATTAGGAAAAATATCCTAAAGAATAAAAAAAACTTAGATTTGTTATGTTTTCAAACTCATTAATTTGGAGATATGGAACTTGATTTAAAAAAAATAAACAATTACTTGTATTTTTTTCAATATTAGGTGAATAAAATTAGAATTTTGAAATATCATTTTAAAAATGACTAGCACAAAATTTCATATATGTTGTATGATTGAATTCAATGGTATTTGAATAATTGTAACTTAGTATGAAATTGTTTATCTATACTTAAAAATTATTTGATAATTTGTATGTTTCTATTGCGGATCCAATAATCTTTAAAAGTTAAAATTATGATTTACCTAATTTTATTAATTCAAAACATAATAGTAGAAAATATTAAAAACAATCAATAAGACAAATGTTATCAAATTAATTATACGTATAGTCCAATGCTATTTAGTTTATTCATCAAATAGATTATGTTTTAATTGGGTTTTTTTTACTTTTATATCGCTTATTTATGATGAAGATATAGATTGCATTTAATCTGCATCAAATAGAAAATTTTCCATTGATCCAATGGCTTCATCTGAATTTCTAGATTTAATTGATTCTTTATTCTCATTTAATGCTTCTAATATGGCACTGGAATGTACTATTAATTTATTTTAATCAGACCCAAAAATTTAACTTATTCCATTTGAATTATTACTACCAAAATGATTCAAACCACAAAAACTAGGTGTATTTGAAGATTTCATTTTAAATGTCTATTAATCTTAAATTCTTTTCTCTTGACTATTAGGCTAACTAATTAAATTTTAACATTCTTCAATCTTATATTAATTATAAATATACCTATAATATATAAAGAGGATTGGTTAAATGAATTTACATTTCTTTTTATCTAATCATATAATCATCTTCTATTAATTTTTATGAATCCAAATTATAAATTGTCTATTAATCAGGTTGAAAAGAAATAAAACCTAATGATTCCTTTTAATTAATTATATCAAACTTTTTAGTTTTCCTCTTTTTCAATTCTTAACTTAATTTAATTATTTTTCTACTCAAATTTACATATTCTGATTTCTCAATTAACCTTTCAAATATTTCTGTTCTAAGTGATTCACGAACAGGTTTAATTGTTTAAATTTCAATACAATATATCCTAAATTAAATATTTTAGATACGTTCCCTAAAATGTAAAAAATTCTACAATTTTAAATGTAATTCTAAACATGTACATCTATTTAAAATTGTCAAAGTATTTTTCATTTATTAAATCTTAACTTTTTAAAAATTCTGTTATTGTTTATTTTTCTTTTACTTAAGTAGACAATAGCACTTCTTGCTTCTTTCTTTTCTTTGGAATCACTATATATGATTAACTAGGATCTTTAAGTTCTGATTCTAAAATATCAGTTAAATTAAGATTTTTCCAACTTTTAATTAACTTTGGTATTAATTTTAAACAATCCAATTATTTTATATTTTTTAAATCAATACATAAAATTGGTAAAATGACTTCATTATATAACTTATTACTAATCTCTTCTACTAAACCATATTTATTCAACATAATATAATGATAGTTTTAATATGTTGGAAGTATAAGTGCAGATGAACCAAAATCAGTTCTTAAATCTGTTTCCAATCTTACTTTTGCAATAATTGGAAAAATAAAACCTAATTTATTTTTTACTAATAAAAATCTTCTATCTGATTTCATTATATTTATTCTTCCTCTTTCAACAAAATTATCTAAATATTAATCATGCACTTTTGCAATAATATCAGGAATAAAATTATTTATTGAATTATTCATTATTTCACAATCTAATGTACAAAGAGCATCTCTGAATGTTTTTGTATAATTTTTTATAATACCTTTTGTATCCAATAATGTTAAGTAGACTAAAGAAGCTTCTTTATGAAATAAAATACCATTTATAGAATTCTAAAATTTATAGGCTAATGAAGAATCGATTGTAGGAATTTCAATTTTTCTTTTGTTAAAATTAATGTACTTGTAAAATAAATGAATTAATATATGACATTGTTAAGACAAAGGATTTTAATCAAAAATTAATTTAAGTTTATTTTCTTAATCTGAAATTAAATCCTACAAGGTTAATCCATCACATAACAATTTTGTTAAATCCTGATTTAAAAATGTAGTATACCATTACTTTTATTTTGCTAAGATTAGCCTAAACTATTCTTTCCACTAATTTACTGATTTATTATAATTAAACACTCTAAAGCAATCATATTTTTAATTAGTAATATTTTTATTCTCTATCATTCTTAAAAAATCATCTTTTACAAGATTTTCAATTGAATTTGCAAACATTTGATCTAAAAGTGTCAAAGTAGAATAGATATTATTTTTTAATTTAATTATTTCATGAAATGCTTTCGTAGGTTACTTTATAATTTTTGATATAAATAAAATATAATAAAAGTAACTTTTTATATATTTCTGAGTATTATTTTTGTTTAAACTTGATAACTTTAATTCATAATGAAATCTTATCAGTTCTTTCACATAATATTTAAATTATTATCGAGAGATAAAATGATCATCTTACTTTTTGTAACAAGCACAAAAACAATTCTTAAAATTTTAACAAAATACTAGATGGTTCATAGAAAATGCATAAAGATTTAAATTATTTGGTAATTAGTATTTAATTTCATTTAATAAAATACCATTTCTACCTAGAGCTTCTTAACCTTAGTTATAAATATTCATCATTAAACAATCAAAATTTTTATTTTCATAACTAAGAATTTAGGTTCTATTTTCTTATTATTTAAATAATAAATTAGTAATCTAGAATATTAATGGAAGAATAATCAAAATCAATTCTGAAAATTCTTTTTGAAATCCTTGAGCAAAAATTAGTATACAAAATATTATAGATAAGTAAAGTGAAAAAGATTAGATTATAATTTTATTAATTAATTCTTCTTAATATTATGGATTACTAAAAGATATTATTAAAATTAGAATAAGTAGAATTATTTCAACCATTGATATTAATATCTCATCAATACCTAAATTATCTAAAATTGAAACTAAAATAATTAAAGTTTCTATCATCAAAGATTATATTTTAGTAGAATTTGAATAAAAACGAGATAGATAATCAATCTTTTTGAATGAAAATTAGACATTATGAACTTCATTCAAAATATTGAATAAGATATTAAAAAATAATACAAGGAAGATGATTATTAATAGCAAAATTTTAGAAGTGTTTAAGTTTGAATCTAAAATCAATTGTATATTTACATTAGCTTGATTAAATCGATATATTTCTAAAAGCCAGTTGAATAATAGGATAATGAAACAAATATTTATAAATTTTAGTCCCAAATGATATATAAATTTCAGATGCTGTAATCAAGTTAATTGTATTATGTAATTCGTTCTAAAATAAAAAGTTTAATACATGTTAATCTTTTTTTTAAGTTGTCTAAAACTATTTCCTTAATGTCTAATTCTTAACTTTGGCTCTTTAATTACAAAAGAGTTGGACAAAACAAAAAAAATATAATAACTACATCGCTAAAATTATTACAAAAAAAATATCAGTCCATTCTAAATAAAAGTCAAGGCTATTTATAAGTAAATTTAATACTTGATATTCTAAAAGAATTTGTTAAACAAAAAAAGCGGTCTTGCATATAATTTAAAAAGCTTAGAAAAGGGATGGCAAAGTATATAGTATATCTATGATTAAGTTATAAGTATCAAGAATAAGCTTAAAGATTTATTCCTACTAATTTTATTGTATATCTGATAAAATTCAGATGCGTAAAATAGTTTAATAGTTAAGAGATATTTGAACATGGTCGGATAAATATATTTGTTAGTATCAATTATGATTTTTAATTTATTTTAAATTACTTTTCTATGATGATTTGATTGGTTAATAAATAATAAATAAAAGCTGCTCATTATAGGTTGATCAACCAATAAATACTTAAAATTTTCATATATAATTAATATAAAATAATGTTTTACTTTTTCATATTTTAAATTTACTTAGATTACAAGACTTTAATTAAAAATAATGAGAATTTTCATAACTATGAAATAAAATTATAGAATTATTTTAGTAAAATAATGTTTGATATTTTATGAGAAAATTTAATTATATCGGTATTGGAATATATATTAGATCGATACATAAACAAAAAATAATAAAATCATTTTAGTAGTAATTTGTTAGAAATAATAATTTATTTTAACACGTATTTATAAATGCTGGATATTCAAGCAAAAACAAATAAAGAAATTTGGTAAGCCAAAAAATTATTGTACGAAAGTGATGGAAATACAAAGAAGAGTTTGATCATTAATTTAATTGCTTTAGTAAAATAAAACACCAAAATCTTAGGGATTATTACTCATATTACTATTCCATAGCATTATTGGATCTGATGATAAATGGACTTGTGAAATTGAATCTGCAAATAATAGTAAGAAATAATCATATATTAATTAAAGGGGGAAATTATATTTGCGTTGAAATGAGAAGAACAATGAATTGTAAAACTATCAGTGGTCCAATCAAGTCAGAAATATTTTTAAAAGTCAAAACAGACCTTCAGGCTAGTGCGATTGTATAAGATTTAAATTAGATTAAAGATTGAATGTCCTTGGGAAATAGCCATTTCAGAAATAAGATTATGTTTTATATTACTTTCTATATCAAGTGTGCTTATTGGAATTTATGCATTACGAAAATCAAATAAAAAGTATGGAGAACTTAGTTTTTAAATAGGAATTGCATTTTCTATTTTGTTGGTATAAAGTTAATTTTATATTTAAGTTGATATCTGCTTACTTTGATTATGTTTCTATAAAAACTTCATAAATAAATAATTACAATTTATGTAATTTATAAGAGGAATTTTAGATTGAGGATAAAATGAAAGTAATTCTATATTTAAACTGTAGGGATAAATGGAATGCTCATTTTCATTCTATAATTTTACAGTCATACTTGAAGTTGCATGTTCAATTGTTTTAATTGTGAACTCAATATTTATAAATTAATGGAGATATAATCAAATAACAGAACTTAATGATTAATTGTGAAATTAGTTTCATTAAACTTGTTAATAATTTATTTAATTATAATATAATTGTATATATTTATTTACATTCGAATATATTTAACTATTTGTTTTATTTTAAGTGTTTAAATTTTGAAATTAAAAAACAAATATTATTTTTCAATATGAAATGATGCTAAACTCCAACTGTTGCTATAAATAATATATCAATTCATTTCAAATTGGAAATTTTATCTATAAAGGGATGCTTTCACGTAAACATAAATTTGAATTATATCTTTAATTTTTAATATATTTTAAAATTTTCGAGCAATATTCAATTGATAAATAAAACAAAAACAAACACTTTGTAAATAAAATTAGTTTAAACCAGTTTTAAAATGGCAATATGTTGAAAATGTTGATAATAATAATTTTGATATATATTGATATTCAATATGATTTTGAATATAAATACTACAAAGAAACATATTAATTTTTTAATTTTAAAAGAAGTTTTACAAAGAAAATTTAAAGAATATGGAAACATCTTACTTAATTTTACAATATTTAACTAATATTTACTTTCAATTATATATTTTATGCTGCAATAGTATTTCTGAAGACTAAACCTTAATACTTGGGTTTCCCTTACAATTAAATAAATAGTTTGAATACTAAAATAAATATTATATTTTGTGAATTTAGTGTTCATTTTTTATTTTATTAATATGAGATTGATTAATTATATAAAAAATATGATTCATGTTTATTTTTGTATTGGAGAAATTAATATTAAAATTTATCCTTTAATATTAATTTATGATGGAAATCGAGGATTGGGAAAAAAGATCAGAGAATACACCATTAAAAGTGCACATGATAGGTATTATTTTAATGAAATTTGAAAGCTGGTTGCTTAGCTGGGTTGATAGAACATGTATCAATGTTGCCTTTAGACAATGTGAAAGTATAATATAGAGTTATGAATTTCAGACTCATCTTTAAGTACTTCCAGATTCAAAGTTCTCGTAAACAGTATTGTCTTTGAGGTAAGAACTAGAATTGATTTTTAGGAAACAAGGATTAAAGACATTCTTTAATGGATATGGAGCAGTAACAGCAGGTTGTATGCCAGCTCATGCATTTTATTTTACTAGTTATGAGGTATAAAAATTTGAAAAATTAAAGATTATGAAAACTCTTTTAGATGTGAATGATGAAAATATCCATGCTCAAGCTTTTGCTTTTATTGGTGCTGTATCAACTTTATGGCATGATCTTATTATGGTACCTTTTGATGGTAAAATTATTATTATAATACAGTTGTTAAATAAAGATAACAAATTTTGGAAAAAGGATTCAAAAAAACAGTGAAAGCAGTCTTAAGATAAGAAGGACTGGTTGCATTTTATAGAAGCTTTCCAATTACTTACGTACTTTAATTAAGTAAAATTAGTTAATGTCTGCTCCTTATTAAGCAATATTTTTTGCAGCCAATGAAACTCTTAAGACTTTAATGTTTAAGAAATCAGAACATAATTTTGTAAGTCATTTTTGTTGTGCAGCTTTGGCAGGATGTGCTGCTGTATGTGTTATGAATCCATTGGATGTTGTCAAAACTAAATTATAAACTTAGAGTTGGCATCTAAACTCTTCTTAAATAAAATATAGTAGCTTCTTAGGAACTATTAAAACAATCATGAAAGAAGAGGGTTATCTCGGTTTCTATAAAGGATTATTACCTAGATTATGTATGTAAACAATGTCTGGAGCTACAGCTTGGGCAAGTTATGAATTTATTAAAAGATAATTACTTCCTTCTTCAGCTATAAATTGATTCATTATTAATTGTACAATATAATTTAGTATTTATAAATATATAAATATTTTATATTTCAAAACCGATCATTTTGTTCATTGTCGGTTTTATTGTTGAATTAAATTACCTGATCTTCAACCTTCTAGTATTTATTCAAATAACATTGTGCGATTCTCATTCCCATTGAAACTGATCCCAAATACATTAATCCTATTTACCATGTAAATTAAGGAAATAAAGCTAGACCAATTAAAGGACAGATTCCAGTCATTCCCCATCCAAATCCAAATAGAGAAGCTCCTACTAAAAGTACATTTGTAACTTTATTTGTTGGAGGATATTAAAATTCTACTTCGAAAATAGGTTTATTCAATAATCTAAATCCAAAATAACATACTATATTTGCCCCTAATATCACAAATAAAAATTGTGGATTCCATTATTATAAAGAAAGAAAACTCAATATTGTTGTCCTTTTAATCATACCTGAAAACACAACTCCTATTCCTAAAAATAACCCAACAGGTATTCCAATTATTGTATCAATAAATTAATCATTATTTAAATACGCTCCTAATAAAGCTCCTGATAATAATACCAAACTTAATCCAATCATTATTATTGAAACATAATTGTAATTCTATTTTTATATCCCTTCATCCTTTTATTCACTCATAGTAATTAAACAACTTAAAACTCCAAATAATATAAACAAGCCAAAAGCTACAAATGAACGAATAGATATCCTTGCTATACCACAAAATCCATGGCCTGTAGTGCATCCATTACATAATTTAGCCCCACATCCTATCAATAATCCACTTATCCCTGATATTGTATAAGACAAATTTGTTATTTTAGATATTTCATTAAATGCTAATGAGGAACCTTCCATTATGCTCTTATCTCTATTATTTATATAATTTAATACCCAAAAATCTAGTACATCAATCCTGTTGAAAATACTATAGAACTAAGAATAGATAATTTCCAAAAAAATTCCTCCCAATTAAATGTTATTACACCATAATATATTCCACTTATGCCAGTTATTCTTCCTTTTGTGACGTAGTGTATACTACATCCGACTCCTATCATTATTCCTCCAATCAAACTTAAAAATAAATCACTAATATTAATTATCATGAAAATAATATTCATATTCAAACATATTTAGATGCCATAAACCCATTTTCTTAAAATCCCAATTTTTCATATAAACCTTTTGTTTCTTTTTTACAATACAATTCAATTGATATTTCTTTATTTACATTTTCATTTCCCTCATTTCTATTCTTTTCAAGACTAATCACATCTTATTTTATTTTCTCTAACAAACTCCTAACAAATCCTTTTCCTCTATAATCTGGATGAGAAACTACATTCTCTATAAAATATTTTGTCTCAAAAATATTCTATTCAATAACTAAACTCATTGTTGACGCTATCCTTTTTTGTTAAACATCCTCAACTACATAGACAAACCCTGGATAATTCTCATGAATTTCCTTAAATTTTTCTAATGGCAGTTCTGGTGTCTTAGTTAAATAGGATAAACATATTAGAAATTCTTTTTGATAATCTTCTATTTCTAGTTTTCTGATGATAAATTATTATTGAATTTATGTTTAATTATCCATAAAATAATACAATAATTATAAATGTTCATATACATAAAAACTCATTTAACAACTTAATTTGAATAAATTTAAATTAATTTTATAACGAATATGCAATCAACAATCTAATTATGGAAGAAAATAAAAGCCAATATGCAATCCAGATTTCCTAATCTTAAGAGCGCCTTTGACTCAATAGATCAAAATAACAATGGAACTATAGATATTGAAGAACTTACTCAAGAACTTTAATTTAACCATGAAATTACTTCTAATAAGTATTTTATTCAAATCATCTATTTTAGTTAAATCTTAGAAATCTTTAATTTACTAAATTCATCAAAAAACTCAGAGATTACTAGAGAGGAATTTGAAAAAGTTTGGATGTCTGATGATTCATAATTATCAATTCAAATCAACGAACTCTCAATCTAAAATCAAAAAATTAAAACATACCTATTACCTCAATAATAATCAACTAAACTCACAAAATCTGGAACTTCATAATAATTTTCTAATCTCTTTGATAGTTATAAATCCAATAATTCTCCAACTAAATACATTAACATTTAAGGAGATTTTACTATTAATTAATTTAATACTCCTCCAATCATAGATAAAACAGCTTCTTAATTAGAAGTTATTTCTCCACCAAAATTAGATTAATATCCAAAGCTTAAATAAGAAGCAAAGGACGATAAATTTAGAGAAATGTAGAAATAAATTTCATATTTATTTAATTGCAAAAATGAGTAATAGAAAGCAGCCCCCATAAGTAAATAAAACTTTGATGGTTTAATGAATAATTTTAAACTTGCTAAGAAATCTTGTATAAATCAAGCACTTAAAACTAAATAGCCATTTTTATCCAATTAAATTTCCTTATAAAATTATGCCTTTCAATTTAATGATATGAAAATGTAATTCAATTCAAAATTTAATGGAGAAAAACCAAGTAACATAATGAAAACTTTTAGTTATAATAAAAAATGAGAATTTTAAATATATATATTGGCATTTTATTCATCTCTTTCTCTTTTTTATTACATTATTTTGATATTTATGAATGCTTTTCAATTCAAATAAAAACATCTTACATATTAAAGTTTTACTATTCAAAATTTCAAAATCTTTTTGAAAATTTAGAAATATGTTTTTATATTATTTCTATAAAAACTATTTATTAAAATTTTAAAAGAAATATCATTTACATTTAAATTTTATTTTTGAACATCAATATTTTGATTCCAGATAAGACAATTAATTTAACCTTAATTTTACACTAAGTAGCTAATTAGATACTAAATGAGGAATTTAAGTAAATAATCTAGGCCTGTATCATTAGCGCTCATTTGTATCTAAAGGATATTTTATTTCAATTAGAGAATATTTAAAGGAATTAATTGTTTTATTTTTTAATTTAAAAAACAACATTTATGCAATTTAGAAGAAATAATTTAAAGTAATGATTTCGAATAGAGAATTAAATTTATCATTAAAGTATGCTTTTTTTTACAAAATAAAATACAATTTTATCATTTAGAAAAGCTACAATTAATTTGAGCAAGAGTTCGGATTAAATTAGAAAAACATCTTGTATCTAAAAGTATAGAACAAAATTACTCTTAAGTAATTACCCATTTACAATTATTTTTCAAAATTTTTCTCAATGTTTAACAGTAAAATACATTAGGTCATGGATTTAATAATATTTTAAGCATTCTATTAATTTAAAAGATATAAATTACCTTTTAGACAACAATTAGATAGAACTATTTTTAAAAATTTAAATTTGTTTTTTTGATTTAGATAATAAATCTAAAAGATTTGAATAAAAATAAACGTAAAAAAATGTTTGAGGTGATTTGAATATATAAATAATTTTAGTATATTATAAATAAATAGAAAAAGTGTTAATGATTATTTATATATATATATATATAATAAGATTAATTTCACTATTAAAGTTTATTTCTCCACCATCTTCCAGAAACAAATTATCCGTTTGCTTTAATATATTTTCCAGGGCCACTAACTAAATCTTGCAAAAAATTGCCTTCAAATTTATCACCATTAGATAGATATAGTACGCCTTATCCTTCTTTATTATCTTCATGAAATAAACCCACATATTTAGTCCAGAATCTATGATTGAATTGAAAATAGATACTCTCCGACTTAATCGAAATCTCTATAATCGAATTCACTAAATAAGGATTATGGTTCTTCATTGTACAAAGTGCCTTTACCTTCAAATTTATCATTGACCCATTATCCTTCATATGCAGGTTTACCAGAAGCATAAAAAAGTGTTCCTAATATAGGAGATAAATGTAAATAGTTACCTATTCCATGCATTTTATTTTCAAACCATTAGCCTTCATATACACCTCCGTTATCTTAATAAAAAAATGTACCATAACCATGTCTCAATCCATTTAGTTTCTCACCATCATATTTAGATCCATTTGCATAGACTTCAATCACCTTTTCAGGATTAACAGATAGATGCTCAAAAGTTTTTTTGAGATCATTTTGATAGTTGATAAGCTTTTCTTAATTGCTTATGTTTCTANTTAAATTTATCATTAAAGTATGCTTTTTTTTACAAAATAAAATACAATTTTATCATTTAGAAAAGCTACAATTAATTTGAGCAAGAGTTCGGATTAAATTAGAAAAACATCTTGTATCTAAAAGTATAGAACAAAATTACTCTTAAGTAATTACCCATTTACAATTATTTTTCAAAATTTTTCTCAATGTTTAACAGTAAAATACATTAGGTCATGGATTTAATAATATTTTAAGCATTCTATTAATTTAAAAGATATAAATTACCTTTTAGACAACAATTAGATAGAACTATTTTTAAAAATTTAAATTTGTTTTTTTGATTTAGATAATAAATCTAAAAGATTTGAATAAAAATAAACGTAAAAAAATGTTTGAGGTGATTTGAATATATAAATAATTTTAGTATATTATAAATAAATAGAAAAAGTGTTAATGATTATTTATATATATATATATATAATAAGATTAATTTCACTATTAAAGTTTATTTCTCCACCATCTTCCAGAAACAAATTATCCGTTTGCTTTAATATATTTTCCAGGGCCACTAACTAAATCTTGCAAAAAATTGCCTTCAAATTTATCACCATTAGATAGATATAGTACGCCTTATCCTTCTTTATTATCTTCATGAAATAAACCCACATATTTAGTCCAGAATCTATGATTGAATTGAAAATAGATACTCTCCGACTTAATCGAAATCTCTATAATCGAATTCACTAAATAAGGATTATGGTTCTTCATTGTACAAAGTGCCTTTACCTTCAAATTTATCATTGACCCATTATCCTTCATATGCAGGTTTACCAGAAGCATAAAAAAGTGTTCCTAATATAGGAGATAAATGTAAATAGTTACCTATTCCATGCATTTTATTTTCAAACCATTAGCCTTCATATACACCTCCGTTATCTTAATAAAAAAATGTACCATAACCATGTCTCAATCCATTTAGTTTCTCACCATCATATTTAGATCCATTTGCATAGACTTCAATCACCTTTTCAGGATTAACAGATAGATGCTCAAAAGTTTTTTTGAGATCATTTTGATAGTTGATAAGCTTTTCTTAATTGCTTATGTTTCTATCATACAAATAATCGTATTTTTAATTATTAGATAAATGATTAATTTAATTGTAGTCCATTTTGTATGAGTCATATGAAACAGGTATATTAGATTTGGATTATTACATATGTTAAAATTATTGATATTGCTAAGATGTTTCAAAGGATGTGACAGGCATAAGATTACCTTGATGATCAGGTTCTGGTTCATTAGTAATATCTAGAATTTAATCCATTCCAATTTGATTTCCTATATTATGATCAATTTCTGAGGGTTCAGAAATTTGTTCAGACAAAGGTAGCTATTTGAATAGTAGAATAGGTTACAATTTTAATATGATCACAAATATCAGGTCTTAGTTCTTAAATTCCATTACGATTTAAATAAATGGATTAATTGGTCTATTGAGATAGTCTTAATTGTTAAGACTTTTAAACTTAGCTATTAGCAATTGATTAATTAGATTGTTATAAATTAAATTTAGCACTGGTTTCTGAATGCATAACAATTTATGGTGCTTATGGTTATTAAATGGAAAAGCTTTCAACTGCTTATTCATAAGATTAAACCTAAATAATTGGGGCTTTTTTAGACTAGATGACTTATTCTTCTTCATAATATGGTTTTTATGGAGATTATGGAGCAGACATCCCCTATAATTCTTATTTTAATTGAATAAAGTCTGGTCTTTGATCTTCATTTAATAATAACATATTTCTTAGGAATTAAACATATTATGTTGTAAATGATGATTCGATCTATTATAATCTGCGTTAGACTTGTTAATGTAATACTTTTGATCTAGGAAGATCATAACACTCATCACAATTATTTAAAGTTGTTAGATGAAGCATTGTCATTCCTAATGAATATACATCACTTTTAAAGGGATTATGTTATGGTTACACTTCATCATTCAATGATTACATTAACTAAGGACTTAAATAATGTTAATTCATTTATTTAAATTCTTCTTAAACTACTTATTAGAATGAACTTAATACTCCACTTACTGTTGGATCACTCAATTTCACATATGGATATTAATCCATATACGAAATAGTATCAGGCCTTATTGCTTAATGACTTATCTTCTAAGACTATAAAATGAACAAACCCTCTATACATCCCATTAAAATTGTCCATAACTCTGATTCCTTCAATTATTGCTTTTTAACCAATCTCTACTCTATGATATCATATAAACTTAATGGAACATATTCTAACAATATGTATATTTTATAAAATTGACCACAAAATTAACTATCTTCCTAATAATACAATTCTATATGTATTGATATTGATTATATACTTGTAACATTTATAAGATTATCATATGTATTACTCTCCTTCTTTTCTAACATTAATTTCACTTTTTTGAATTTATCCACATCTGTTAAATTCATCTCTTTTTAAAATGCTTCTTATTTTGTCTATTTCTATTTCACTATCCTACCCTCACCATATCTTGAATCATCTTTGATATTACGAACCATCATATAATTTGCATGCAATGCTTTTATTCCTGCATTACTTTCTTAATTCCCCATTAAAAATTTTATATTATCTTATATTATTTTAATAGTCAATGTGTAAATGATAATTTAATAAGTCAATGTGTAAATGACGAATAATCCCACTTGTTCTTGTCTACTTTTATTGTTATGCATCCTCTTGATTCTAATATACTGTTCATACAACATGACCAACCTTCACTTCCATCTGGCATCTTCTACCATACACCATTGTGACAATATTTATATTCCAAATCATGTTTCAATGTTCTTGTCATATCTGGCTTAAACGTATAGTTTTTATCCTCTATTCACATTTTAAACCTTACTTAAATCTGCTCTTGGTTTTTACTCAATTTTGCTTCGTAAGCCAATCTAAAAACTGCTCCATCTATTGCTTATTAAGAAGCAGCAGGATTTGCCAATTAATAATCCTATCTTATCATATTTCTTATCTCTTTTTCATTTAATTTCTGATTTCTTAAATCTAATTACATTTTTGTTTAATGCTCTATTGGCTTTAAGTAGTTTTTTATTATCTCATCCTCCTTTGACTTTGTATTTTTTAGAGCATCTTTTGTTTAAACCAAAAGATTTTTTTAAAACTCCAAATTATTTGTTTCTGTGCTTACATTCCATTTATTTGAACCTTTTTTTGCTAATAAATAATTGTCTCTGGTTTCTATGCCTTCATAAATTTTATTAGCCTTTTCTTTTGGAATTGGATGATCAAATAACCCTAATCGAATTTTAACCAATTTTCTTTCATGTGTTTCTTCTGATAATGGATTTTTTGGAACTGAAACGCTAGTATTCCATTCTTTTTTTCTTAACCCTAAAATATCCTATCATATTTAATATATATTAAATTTACTGGATCAACAAAAGTTTAAACAGTTTCTTTTATTTACAATGCTCTTTAAGGAATATCCTCTTTGCTAAAAAATTATTCATCTTTATCGTAGTCCATTTTATTGTTCTTAATACTACCAATCTTATGAATTCTTTATTCAGTCTATAATATTTCTTATTCGCCATCACTCTGTTTTTATCTTCTTTCGTAAGCTTCTTTTATAAACATATTTTTTAATTTGATGTTATAAATATATATATAAATATATCATTTACTTATTAGATAGCCGAACGATTATAAAAATAATTCTAAAACTTCCTGTTCTATTGAAGATAGTGATGATTATTAGACCAAACCACGAACTTAAGTGAATTAAGCACAAGCAACAACTTATTTATTACAAATAACAGGAAGTGTAAATATTGGCAATGATGTATTAATATCAATATTAGGATTGAAAGATTAACTGTTATATGAATTATGATGATATGTTATTGATTTATTTAATATGGCTTCTCCCATGATTCCTTACCCTTCAATATTTTCTACTAATTTAATAGTTGCAATTTCACTATTCATCATTTCTTTTAATCTCTTTGATGCATGTTGAATCAATTAAGTTTAGCTTTTCATTTGTATAAATTGAATACTACTTTTCAAAGCATATCTAAATTTATTTACAGCCATCATTAATTAATTATGGTTCATAACATTGCATAAAATCATTTTACCTTATTCTGATAATAATTACAACAATGATTCATCTTCTTCAGAATATATACCAGAATTCTTTTTTTCTTGACATACAATTACTCCATAACATTTTTAATTATCCATAATGGGAGCTGCCAAAATGACATTAGAATCAATAGGTGTAAATCTAGTATCATATTTAGCTTTCTTTAAATTTAACATTTATTTGGTTTCAGCTACAAATCCAACCAATCCTTCTCCAATTTAATATTTCTAATTATCTTATCGAGAATAGAGTTCCTTTTTCTCTTCATCAATTAAATAAATTTTAACTTCTTAACAATTCATAATATTTAAAATAGTTTCTCTTAAAATTTAGAATGATTCATCCAGTAATTTACTGTCTTGTATCATAAATCCTTTTTAAATTAATAGTTTGAGTTTAAGAATAATATGAAACATAAGATTATGTTCATGATATAATTTTTTTAATTTATCATATATAATTGATACTTTTTAAGGAGGATAATTGTTTATGACATCTAAAAAGCAATCTTCATCATTTAGAGTCTCTTCTATTAAAGATAAAGATCCATCAGTTTAATAATTATTAATCAATTCATCGTCAGTTATATTCAAATCTAATAAAGAATTTAATTTAAATGTATCATCTTATTAGAATAGAACAGTTAATTTACGATTAATAGTATTCTTTCTTTAAAGTCTTATAGGTTTATCAGATAAAGTTTCTCTTTATTTATTAATTTATTATTAAGAGGCTATAGTATCTTTATCTTAAATTTTAGGAATAAAGTGAGTTCTATTTTATCTTTCTTAATAAATTATTTTACTTTAATGTTCTGTTAGAATTTAGAGATTACGATTTTGATGTTCTAATCTTTCGATTTCTTTTTATTACATTCTTAACATATTTTATAAATGTTCTTGTTAAGTATTATCTTTATTATAATCTTTATTATAATCTTTAATTGGTGAAGATTGACAATGAAGTGTCTTTAGATAAAAAGATGTTTAAGAGTGTTTTCTTCTAGGTTGATGATTATAAAATGAACTCATTAAAAATATATTATTTAATGTCATAAACAAACACAAATAATACAATTAGTGGTCGAATGATATTGCATTAATCACAAAAATAAGAAAAGTCATATCCTTTTTTTAAAGACACTCGAGTAAATTCTTGTTCATACATACAGATGAAAAAAGGAAACCCTTATGTATGATCTTTATATTACATAGGCAATTCCTTATTATGAAATTGCAAACAAATCATAAATTGATAATTAGAATAAATCTACTTATATTACATCAACATATAATGATGATTATAAGCCAAAACCTAATTTCCATGTAGGATCTGAAAAAAAAGCATTATAACCTTATACAATGGGTTCTTTTCGATCCAGATTACCTTAACCTGATGCTCCAATATTAACTAAAAATGCATCTTAAGTTGAAATTGGAGACAGACAGTATGATATACATTTGTTATATATTAAAGTTTCAATGTAAAAAGACATTTTCTTAGTACTGCACATAATGTCTATGGAAATTTTGGAAAGTTTGGTAATATTTCTAATCCTGGAATTTTAAGTGAAAAAACAAAGTGGCATCATCATTTACAATAGCTATGAAATATTTAATATTTTTAATATTCACATATCAATGATTTTTGAAAATGAGGATAATTTTACAGATGATATATAATCTGAAAAAAAATATTACGAAAGTGATGAGGACATTTAACCATTAAAGGTATTCTATTTAAAGAATTAAAAGATAGGAGATATGATTTAAAATCGATTTTTAATAAGTTAGAAAATTGGAGAAGGTTCATTTGGAAGTATTTTCAAAGTTCTTGATAAAAATAATAATAATGCTATATGGGCTATGAAGGTTGAATCAGAAGATGATGAAAATAGTCTTTTAGAAAAAGAAATTAAAGTTCTTATTGAATTAAGGTAAAATTATATCATATAATTTTAGAAAATAATAAGGTTTTCCTTAAATTAAATTTTATGGATAAGAAAGAGGATATACTTATTGTATAATGTCTATGTTAGGAAAAAATTTAGAACAAATTTTTAGAAAATTAGGAGGAATAATGAATATAGCCACTGTAATAAGATTAGCAATTTAAGTAAGTAAAATAAAATGATATTAGCCTAATAGATGATAGATAGAATTTCAGTGATGCATGAGAATCGATTACTTCATCGTGATATAAAACCTGATAATTTTGTTATTGATTCAGGACCTAATCCTAAGATGATTTATTTAATTGATTTTGGGCTCTCAAAAAATTATATTGTATTTATATATTATATTAAATTTTAGAATAATAAAGGAGAACATATATCTTATGTTAAAAAAGCAGGGCTTATTGGAACTGCAAGATATGCTTCTATAAATGCACATAAAGAAATGGAATAAGGAAGAAGAGATGATCTTGAAAGTATCGGCTATGTTCTTATTTATCTTGCTTCTGGAAATTTACCTTGGATGAATTTATAAATAGATTCTAAAGATGCTAAATATACTAAAATTTATTAAATTAAAAAAGAAATTAAGACAGAAAGTTTATGTTTCAATTTACCAAAAGTATAAAATCATCTTTTAATATTAGTGTTTCTATTTCTATATGAATGATGTAAAATCTTTAGAATTTACAGAAAATCCTAATTATGATAAATTAAAATCATATTTTGAAAAAGAAATAGAAAATAACACTAAATAAAATATTAATTCTTCATCATTTACATATGATTGGGAAAGACTACCAGAATACAATAAATAAAAAAAGCATTAGACAGTTCATGTTATGCATGTAAATTCTTATTAATCTAGAATTAAGATAAACAATAATAAGTAGAAATTGCATTCAATCCAAATAAATTAAATTAAATTTCTAAATAAAATTAATTTATTAATCAATAAACAAAAGATTCTTAATAAAAATCTATATAGAATTAATAACTTACTTTTGAATAAATAATGAATGAAAAAAGAAAAGAAACCAAAAAGGCTTTCCATAGTCCTACAGGCAAAAGTAAAAAAATAGCATTTATTATTACCTTTTTAGAAAACACCGACAACAATTAATAAAATTTTTTGTCTCCAATAAAACCTGATGATAATAGAATTTTAAGAATATAGAATCATTCTTCTACATAACTCTAAAATCCTTAAATTAATTCATCATATTAATTAGACTCTTTTATTTTACCTTCTGTAGCTACATCAAAAATAATTAATTATTTTGAAAGTGAAATTGTAGTTAGTGAAGGTGGAGGATTACCAATATGGGATTTATGTTAAGAATCAAAAAATAAATTCTAAAAAGTTACAGGAATTTTAGAAGGAATAAAGAAACCTAGTTTAATAATATTGAGAAAAGAAAGAAAAATACATACATGTATAATTATTAATATAAACTTTTAGAAATCGATACTATTAAATTAATGCAAGAATTATTTGTTCCTCCTATTAAATTAATTGGAGATTAAGAATCAAATATTGAAGGTTTAGAATGAATAAAGAATTTATAAGAATTAAGAATTGTTAACTACTTAACCAAATATGGTAAATTATTTACTTAAATAATTAAAATCAAGTTTTATTATATACAGTAGTGCTAAAAAGAGGTCGAAGTCTATTCAATTCCTTTTAAAATAAATTTCGTTCCTCTTTCTTTCCTTTCTTTTTTTTATTGTATTTTAATTTCTCATAAAAAAAGATTACTTCATTTTCTGTTGCTTAATATAATGCCTTTAAATCTTATAATATAGTTAAAACAAATGATGATGCTGAACTAATTATTTCATTTGTGATAGGAGATACTATTGTAATTTCAGATTAATCATCAAATTCGTTTAAATCATAAAATGGACTATAATTAAATAAAATAATTTATTACTTCTCATTAAATCCTTTATAACTAATTCCAGTAGTTTTAGGATCAAATTCAGTTCCATAGAACTTCAAAAAATTATAAGTTGTATATCCTATAGATGAAGCTTGATTTTAATGATAAAAGCATTCTAGAAATGCTAAAACCATTTAAATAATGCAAAACGAAGATATTCCTCCTTTATATTAATCATTTAATCCTCTTTTTTTCAATAAACTTTTGAATAGTAAAACAATTGGTCTTAATTCACAATAAAATGATAACCATTATAAAGTTAATTCAGTTGAAATTAATCCTAAATGTTGATTTTATTTGAGACCTGAAAATTAAAAAAAACTAATATCAACACTAAATACTTATCTATGTACATCTTCATCAGGACTATATTAATAATTAAATTTATTACTTGATAATGAGATCTATATAAGGTAAACCTATAGGTAAAGAGGACTATACAAATGAAATAGTAGGATCTACTTATAATTTTATTAATGGCATATTTGAGGAAGTTATTGCACTAAATAATATTATAAATTAAATTACATTATATTGTTAACCCATCTCATTTTTTAAAGAAATTCTGTTAGTTTTTAAATAGGAATATTTAATTAAGAGACTGGACACATCTCAAATCCTGTTATTCCTATATCTATATCACTTTCTTAAAGGGCTAAACCAGTGGCACATGAACCAAAAAGACGAACTTAAGAATTAGAATCTAACTAAAATATATGATGAATTAAACCTCTAAATAGATAATTTATAACAAATTATAATCTGTCATAAATTATCTTTCTTAATTTTAAAATTTATTGATTCTAGCATAAAATCATATCATTAAATTCTCTCATATCCATATCAAGTTTTTTAATCATCAAAACTCTTGCTTAATTCATTATATTATAATCTATTTAATCTTCTTTTATTGGTTATTTATAAATTGTATTTTACACATCCTATTGATTATTAATATTAATATTTTTTTAAAATGATTTTTCACTTTCTTAAGGAATTTAAAGACTCAAATCTACAATTTATAATAACTACACAGGAGAATGAGAGTTTTTTGCTTCTTCAAACTTTGATTAACAAATTTGATTATTTTTTTAATAATGTTGTGATGTTCGATTCTCAATTTCTTAATTTTCCTATTTTTGTGATTTCTCTATTTTTACAACTTATATATCTTATTTTATAGTTTCAATACCCTATGTATTGCTTTTTTAGCATTTTTAGCTCGAAAAAAGTTCTTAGTCATGAGGTTTTGATTTAACGGATTATTCCATGAATGTTTGAGAAATAGGTTTCTAAAGAGATTTTTAATTTTTGTATTCATTTTCTTATGATGTATTAAATTTACGATTAGATTTCTTTTTTTATTTTTTAGGTGCAGTAATTACAACCCAATTTTCATCATCTTCATTTTAAGTATTATTACTTAAGTCTATAATAGTTTCAGCATCAAGTATTTGATTGGCTTCTTCAATTATATTCTATTCTTAAATATTTATTTAAGTAATCTCTGATTTTATAGAAACTTTAGCATTTGTCCTGATCTCTTAACATGAACTTTAAATGATAATATTTTAATATTACTTTCCATGTTTATCCAATTCATATTCATTACAATGAACATCATCTTATGTTGTGTCTTGCTTATCAGCTAACTCAAAACTATTACATTTCTCTTAATTCATATTTAATTTTTTTTATTCATTCTTATTTTTTTACTTTTTATGTTTTTTAGATTTTTTTTTTTACTCTATTATTTTTTTCTTTTCCTTACCCTCAATATCTTATAATTCTTTTAATAATTTCTCTTTATAATGATCTTTTATAAGTCTCAATATTCTTTTCTAACATAATTTCTAAATTGTTAACACTTACTCAAGAGGCATATAATTCATAATATCTAATTCATTATTAATAAATATTTTAGAAACATCCTTTTCATTTATTGATAATAACATCATTTAAATATTTTAATCTTGATTATTTTTTTATTTATCATTTTATTATGAAGATTACTTTAAAATAAGTTGAGTCCATAAAATATCTTCTTATTTACAATTCTTTTTTTTAGGTGCATTCTTAAATTCTTTACATATTTAAGGAATTTAATTCAAAATCTTAGTTCTTAACTCAAAATCTTAAATCCAAAATCTTTTAAGATCATCATTCTTATTTTAATTGTTTTCCTCTATACATCCTTATTGATATTCATAATATCTATTATATTAATACAAATTATTTTATACAATAATGCAATTGATTTCTCAAATTCATTTATAATCCAACCAGCACAAGATTAAAATGTTTTTGGATTAAACCATATAGCATCATTTACAATAAATTATTTTGAAATATAATTAAATGAAACTTTTGGTTAAGAAGAAAATGCAAGACCATTTGAACATTCCATCAATAAGTTTAAATTATCTTCTAAAGAACCTTATAAACAAAATTTCTCAAAAATTTCATCCTGATCAACTATATAAATTTTTGATAATAATTTCTAATATTAATTATAATTAAAAGATACCTATTCTAAATGCAAATTTTCTTCTTCATGACTGCGTCTTTTACGAACTAAACATGCTCCTTTTATATCTTCTGTTATTGAAGGGAATCTAATTTATATTTATTACACTTCTTACCTTGGATTATCTTGATATAAAGCATAATTGCATCTTTCCACTTACAAATCATACATATACATTCTAATGATAAAAGTTGTAATCTTTTTAGAAACAACAGCTATTTCATTAACTTTTTATTTCTTAGCCCTAAAAAATTACCACAATTAATAATATATATATATATCGTAAGAACAAAAAGTGACATGCAAGTAGTCCACTTTCAGTAATATTGAGAATTTTGATTCAATACCATTAAAAAAGGTTGTTTTTGTATGCATTTTCAAATGATTCTATATTCTCACATGGATGATTATTATATTTTGCAGTCAGATATTTAGGTAGAGAATAAAGCATATTTATTTGTTAAATTTTATAATTTATTAATAATTGTATTAAATTAAATCCCAGAAATTCGGCATTGAATCTTTTGAAGATAAATAATAATACAAAGTTTATATATATTTCAAATTTTACTTTAAATTTTATTTTTTTAACTATTAATCTCATTTACTCTATTTCTTTTCATTACAAAATCTAAAAATATGAATTTTAAACAACTTCTCAATTATAACAAACCATATTTAATAGGTTTTCACATCTGACAGAATCTTACTATATAATACAAAAATATTTAAATGCAAGACTCTAAAAAATGAATAAATTATAATTAATTATATGTTCTTGACATTCTATGTTATATAAAACATAGATTTTAAATGAGATAGATGTAAGTTTTATTTGAATTTCATTATTTTTTAAACTATAAATAAAATGTCATTATTTTCAAAAAAAGAATAAAAGAAATAGCCTACACAATATTTAGATTTTGATTCACTTGTTGTTAAAAAGTATAATTATGAATCAAAGAAAGCTAATGAATAATCTGTAAAGCAAGAATAGTATATAAATGATTTAAGAAAAGTGTATGAATTCCAAAAAAAATTAGTTATGAATAGTAAAGAGTTGAAATTGAACCTATATTTTAAAAAGTAGAGATTCTTTAAGTAGAAAGGAAATAATTAATGGATGAAGTTGAGTAATATAAAATGAGTCAAATGGAAATTCTAAAGAAATATGAAGGGGAATATTAGGAAAAAGAGAAATTCAGTAAAGAATGCTAAAAATACAAATAATAGATTTTAGCACTTTAAAAGATGTAAATGCCTTAAGAATTTTAAGAAAAAAAATGTCAGGAATTAAAAGAATCTTTATATAATACTATAAAAGACATAATGAATGACTTTTTAGAAAATTATAATGATTAAATAGGATATGAAAATGATAATGAAGGTACATATTAAAAATAAATAAAGTTAGTGCAACATTATTACATGAATTACTTTAATAGATAGATGATTCTATATTAATGTTTGTAGAGAATCTTCCTGCTTAATCCAGTAGATGTTATTAATCAGAAGAAGTTCAACATTTAAAAGATTAAATAGAAAAGACTTTATAGAATGTTGCTAATTTACAATCTGAAAATTAAGATTTATTGGCATCTTTAGAATCTGAAAAATAATTAAAAGAAAAAATTAATAATCAAAAAAACACATAATAATAATTAGTTTGTTAATTATAAAATCAAATTGAACAAGTAGTTAATGAAAAAAAGGGTATTGATTCATAACTTTAAGAAATTTAAATAAAATATTAGGATATATTATAAGAATTTTAAAAATTGAATTAAATTAAAGAAGATGAAAAAGAAAAGCTAAAAGAAGAATTAATAGGATTAGTAAATGAACTGTAAAAAGAAATTTAAAAGATTTAATCAGAGAATTCTAAACTTTTGTAGTAAATTGAAGAGTAGAAAACTGAAATAAATAAATAAACTGAACTTTTTAATAATAAAGTTCGAGATTTAGAAACTAAATTAAATCATGAAGAACTTAAATCAGAATAAAAATATAAAGAAGTAATATTATTCATATAATATAGTTACTTAGAAGTGAAAGAGAATTAAATTAATATAAATCAGAAGCTACAAAACTGTTTGAAAATAATAATCTTTTATAATAATAATTAGATGCTTATAAAGAAAAAAGAAAATAAGAAAAAGAAATATTCGACGATTAAAAAGATAAATTTAAATAAATAAAATTATAATTATAATAATAAGAATAAGATTATTAAGCTAAAATTATTTAACTTGAAGAATAAATTCATTAGTTATAATAAACAACTTAAAGTACTATTTCATCAGAGATATCAATAAATCCAGAAATTGTTATGGAAAAAGAAATATAAATTTCAAAATTAGAATAAACTATATTAGAGTAATAATTTATTAATAATATAATAGATTAACTTAAAAAACAAGTGAATTAAAATAAAAATTAGCTGAAAACATGATAATGATTAATGAATAGAATTAAGAATTGGAAAAATAAAGATTGACTAATCAATAACATTTAGAAAAAAGAGCTATTGCAATAAGCGAATTAAATCGATTAGAACAATAAAATTAAATATTAAAATAAGTAATAATTAAATAATACTTAGAAAATGAATGATCAAAATTAAATAATTAAATAATTACAAAATGAAAATTAGTAGATTTCTAAATTGCTTCAACCATTAAAGTAATAACCTCTTCCAAATATGCAGAAATAAATATTAAATCAAAGCATTTCAAAAACACCTGTAGGGGAAGTTAATAATTTAGATTCATCTATTCATTCTGATGTTGAGAGCTAAAATTCAAAACAGTCTAAAACTCCATCCTTTTTTACAAAAGGTTTAAATTATTTTAAACCAAAGCCTTAACCAATTTAATATATGGTATATAAAATCAATATGAAAAGTAATAAGAAAATTCAGATTTAAAAATTGCTGTGACTATGATACATAAATAATCTGAGGAGTTAAAATTAAATTTAGAATAACTTTATAAATGTTTTTTGTCGACAGTTCTCTTAAATTAAAATAATTAAGATAATAAATTTCTTAAATTTGAAAGAGAAATTAATGAGTGTTTAAAGAAAACTTAAGATTTAAATGATAATATTGAAGATTTTTTGGTATTATGATTAGTATGATTTTTGTTATTTTATTACAATCTATTCTTTTGATATTCTGAGTACATGATTTTTTTTATTTGATATAACCATTAATCTATAAATATAAAATATTAGATATAATCTAAAATTTATTAAGATCAAACATTAGATGTTTAATAAATATTTAAATAAAATTAATATACTATGATTAATTAAGCTTATTAACGGAAAAGCCTCATTTTTATTTCTTGCTGTTATTTCTAACACAATTCTTACAATAATCTTTTCTTAATTATAAGCATTCTTAATGAAATGGTTTATTACATCTGGAACATTAAAAACTTTAAGAAGACTATGAAAACTATTTCTTACAGGATGTACAAAATATTTTTTTTTGATTTTTCATTTATTAATCAAAATTAATATTTGGACTAAATATATACAGATTTATAAATACTTTTTTCCAGCATTTTCTCTTTTTACTCTTTTATTAGCTAAGCTATTAGGATATTAAGGACTTTATTCTTATTCAATTGAATCATCTTCAATAGCTTTTAATTTAGTTTTTTTTTTTATTGGTTTAATTTCTTTTTAATTAACTTTTTAAGTAATTTTTCGTTAAGCCTAGCTTCTCTTATTTTTTAATACTTTTTATTATTAATATTGTTAATACTATTCTAATAACAAATTCAAAGTAATTAAAGAAATATAAATACAATGTTAAGATGATGCATTATCCACATATATTGCTAATTAATTAACTAGTTCAAAGTTTTATTTAAATATCTTGAATGGTTTTACATATTATCCATCATTTGATTTTAGTAATAATAATCCATTTAAAAATATTTTTAGTGCTTATTCTAAAGATTAAAGTTATTTCTCATTTTTTAGTAATTGATAAAAATTTTACTTTTAATTATTATCTATCCAAATCAAGTTTTTAGATTGTAAATATTTTGTATATGCTTCTTCAGTAAGTAAAAACTATTCAATAACTTCTATAATTTCTAGATTATATTACTATTCTATTTATTGGTTAACAAATACTTTGTATTAATCGATTCTATGATTTTATTGGAGTTGTATTATCAAATAATTTAACTTAACTTATTAATTCTAAATTTTCTAGTAAGTTTGATTCATTAACTCCCTAAATATTTAGAGCATTCATCAATTCAGATAAATCAGAAAGAGTATATTAACCCCATCCTGTCATTGTTTCAACAAAGATAGAACTAGGAACATGAGTAAAATAAAAATATTATTATTCATCTGCATCTTATCCAAGATATGTTCCACAATTTATATATGCAGATTAATTTTACTAAAATAATATTTTTAGATTTGCTAATATAAAATTGAAATTTACATTGTCTGTAATTTGATGAAGAATCTTTTTATTTTATTTAATCCTTCATTTTATCCAAATCATACAAACCCTCAGTTAATATACTTAATATGTTTATTTAATCTTAAAACTCTAAAATATTAAAATCAATTTTATTAATATTTGATTCACAATCAAAATTAATTATTTAATCAATTTAAATAACACATTCTATCCAAGTTTTCTTTATTAAATCTTTCATTTAACTTTCTTAATGAATATATAAATAATTCATTAACTCTAAAAAAGCATTTGCTTATATATTTGCTTAATTACAATATCTTTCAAATTTAACTACATCTGATAAAATAAATTCATTAAAATATTCCATAAGCAAATTCATAAGAATTTCATAGAAATTTTTTTCAATATAATCCTAATTAACATTTTGTGGAGTTTAACAATGAGGAAATAATATTTAATAACTTGTTTAAATTTTAAGTATATCTTCAACCATATTTGAATTAATCATATATGGTTATGGTTTCTATTTAATTTCCAAAATGTCTGGATAATCAAGTGCTAATTTCTCTAAAACAGGATATTTTATTTTTCCATTCTAACCTCTATAAATTGGATACTTTCTTAAGAAATCAGATATCTAATCAATAGGTTTAAATGGAGTAATTTCCATTTCTTCAATAATAAAAATTTTTTATTTTTTCTAAATTTTTTCTAATAATGATAAATTAATCTTTTTTTATTCAGATGTTGGACATATCTGTTATTTCAATTGTTTATTATTTATATAATCCCATTAATTAGAACTTTTAAGTTCCTAAATTCTATCTAAACAATAATCACAAATCCAATCATTAATATTATCAAGTACTTATACACATTCTGCATGAAATTTAAATCTGCATCTTTTACATATAATAATTCGGTCAGAATAATCAAAAGCAATATAAGGTACTTTAGATTCTGATTATTCTTCTTTTTTCTATGATTTTTATACTATTTGTTATCTAATAGATTTCATAGTAACATGAGGATTTGTGTCTTAATTTTCTGTTTGTTATAATAAATTTAATATCATAGGAATAGTTGATTATTTACATTTCCTACATTTGTTTTTATCCACTCTCTATTTCTTTTGATGATTACTTTCTTCATAATCTAATTGCTTAGATTCTTATTTCATCAAAAATTTTGATTTTTTTTTCTCATCTAAAGTTAATTATGGCAAGAAAACAGTTTTTAATTATTCTTCTAACTAATTCATAACATCTTTTAATTCTTTTTAACCATATGTCAATGGATCCATATCAATATTTGAAACTGATCTTTGAATTTACGATAAAATTGATTTTTGAATTGCTTCTCTACTTTTAATTAACTTAGGAAATTGTCTAAAAGAAATTAATGCTTTAATTACTCTATTTCGCCTATTGTCTTGAATATTGGCTTTTTTGATTTAATTCTTTGTATAATTAATTCTTATTGATCTAATTTTAACATAAATTATTATTAAATTCACTTTAATTCAAATATAGATTTTACTTTTTAATTTTTTATATATTAAAAATATTTTAGATAATCTTTTATTATTAATTTATTTTTTAAAGATACTTCTATTTTTTATTATTTAACAAATGAATAAATAAAAAATAAATAAAAATGAAAGAAAAATAATCAAAAATAGGAATAAAAATGATAGTTTTAACAATATAGATAGTATATAAAACTTAAGGTATTTATATATAAGAATTATTAACAATCAATTAGATTATTAGTTTCAGATATTAAGTTTAAAATCAATTAAATTAATTAATTTGAGATTTTCTTTATTAAAAGTTCTTACATCATCTTCCTTACTCAATTGAATAAGATATTTTTACAAATATTTCAATTCTTCATCTTTCGGATTGAATAAGTATTCTAAAATTGGTATTCCATTTTCTAATTATAATCCAAATGAATGAGGAAGATTATCAACAATCACTATATCTTTTAAAGGTCTATTGGTTATAATTCTTAAATCTTTAATAAAAAATCCATTTTTAGTTTCAAAGCAATTATTTCTGCACAATATATCATTGATATATTATCTTTTAGGATCTAAATGATTAACAATAGCATTAGCATATAGCTCTGAAGAAGCTGTAAATAAATAAATATTATAGTAGTTAGACATTTCTTTTAAAAATTCTTAACAAAATGGTCTAATGTTGAAACATAACTAAAGATAAATATTTATAAATATTACATCAACTTTATCTTCATCATCTTATAATTAGATAGTGACTTAAGGAGAGTCTCTAGATGAACAACTATGAATCAAGGTTTCATCTAAATCTAGGATTAATAATTTAGATTTCCTTTAATTAGATTCTTTAAGTCTAATAAATCTACTTCTAAGAAATTTTTCTGATGGTCCTTTTAAAGAATTACATGCATATAATAGTCCACTCTATACGATTTACAAAAATCTCAAAAACTCATTTTAATTAATATTTTTGCCATAAACTAAATGTCTAAATGGATGATCTTTGATATGAAGATGCTTATTAACAACTTGCTTAGAGGAATTTGACTTTTATATTGGTGTATGTTTAAATGGTTACTTAGGATTTTGATATTTTTATTCCATTTATTTGGACATCTACTAAATGTCATATTCAGGTTCAGTTTTTTGATTTGTTTAAATTTTTATAGCTTATTCTTTTTTTTCTTCTTCATTTGAGTCAAATTAAATATCCGAATCTTTTTCTATGTGACTCTCCTTCTGTTTAAATTTTGATAATTTATTTTATCCTTTAGGTGAATATGGGAATATTTATTTCATAGGTGTATTATCAGAATCATCAGTTTAAAACTGTTATCCTTCTCCTCTTGAAAACTTTGACGGCTTTGCAATCAAAGGTCTTTTCGGAGTTAAGTCAGCATCATCATCTGAATAAAACTATTTCTTAAGGTCATTTTGTATTTGTATAAATATTTTTGGCCTTATATTAGTTTGATTATCCATTTTGTAGAAATAAATACAATTATCTTTATTATTGAAAGATAATAAAAATACAGATCATAAATATTCACTAAAATAATGAACTTATAATATTTATTCAATATCACTATGTTCATAACTGCATTAATTATTTCTTTTAGTGAATTTTATGTCATAATATATAAAAAATTGAACTAAACAATAATTTAAAAAAAAACTCTTTATTTTTTTGGTATCAATTTTATTTAAACATTTTTATTAAATTAGAGTTCATCGATTTTTGCTCTTTATTTTTAATTTAAGCAATCTTGCTTCTAAAATAATGTTTGTTTTAAAGTAATTTCAAAAAATGAAGTTTTTCTTAAATAAAATAATAAATTTTTATTTCTATAAGAAATATAAATTAAAATTAGAATTGATTTCTTTATACTTTATTTGAATAAAAAATAAACATATTAAAAGAGTATAATTTATATTAACATAAATAAATAAAGATTTATGTTATAATTATATTATTTATTTATTTTATTTAAGTACTTTAGATATTATTCTTTGAAGCTTTCTCTTTATTTTTTGAATCATTCCGAAAATTCTGAAGTTAAACTAATATTAATTAATTTTTATCAATTTCAGCAAACTTTTCTCTTTCGATTAATTTTTTTTAAATAAATTAATACCTTAGTTTAGTTAATTCATCTGTGATTTTTGATTCTAATAAATTTGATGTAATAATTCCATATATTAAGTATTCAATCGTAGATTAATTAATAATTATGGAAAATTTTAACTATTCTTTTGAAAACAGCTCCTTATTTTTATAATCTGCAATTTTTTCAAAAATTAATTCATTATTCAAATCATTAATTAAGTAATTCATTTTTTTCTTATCCTTTATCTGCTAATTTTTCCATACTACCGATCTCCTCAGAATTAACAATTTTATATTACCTTATCTAAGCTATTTTTAAATTTGATCTAAAAACTACTGCTCTAATTCATAGTTGATATCATCATCTGGGTTTTAATATTCAAAATCAATTTATATGGACTTAATTAATTTTCTTTTTTATTTTATGAAAAAAAAAGAAAATCTTTAAAATTTAAGAACTTTTTTTTGTAATGAAGTTTCATTTAACAAAAACATCAAAATTAAACTTTTCTTATTATTAAACTTTGATAGAAATTGTTCAACAAAAATCTTAAATCTTTTAATTTTGCATTCATTTTATAAAATTTTTATTTATAGACTCTTAATTAAATGATTAATTTAAAAATGCAGATGACATTTTTCTTTTTTTATATTAGTTTCTTCTTTTTGAATAATAGTTTAACTAAGTTTATTTCATTTCTTCCTATTTTTATGAGCATTTTTACATTATATAATAAAATTATTCTGATAAAATAAATATATATATATATTTTTTAAAAAGAAGTGGAGATTAAAATGAAATGGATAAATAGAATTAATAAATTATTAAAATTTTATAATATTGACATTTTTATTGATTATTAGGATAATCATTGCCATAAATTTTCATGTTTAGGACTTCCTATTTGATGTTTGTATTAATTGAGGAATTCATCCAAAGTTCTTGATTGTGCAGTTGATGAATAGAGTGCATATAATTTATAATGGAAGAAATCAGTCAACAACAAGAATGGAATAACTCCTCTATAGATACTAAAAGGTGTTTTTTATGCAAATAAATTAGCAGCTATTCTACCTTTTTAATTAGTTTATTAGAAACTTAAATCAGTACTTGCTAATTATAATCTTGTTTTGATAGTTAAGAATCCATAACCAATAGCTAATAAAGGTGTAGAAATTAACTAATAAATTAGAATATATATTTATTTACTTATGAAAGATAATCTTATTCATAGACATTTCTAAGATGATAGATCAAAGTACCATTGAATGCCAATTTGAATACAATTCCTCTATAGAAATGACTAAATCCATTTCGAGCATAAACCTATAGATTAAATTGATATAGATTACTTATTCAATAACATCAAATGCTCCTTTATATCTTCCTTAGATATCAGAATATATAATTGTTTTTATGGTATCAATAGGATAAGTTATAAGTTCAAATAATGATGAATATAGATAATGAGAAGTATATCCATTACCTCTACTATATACTAATGGATGTGCCCATACTGTCAAAAATTAGAATGCATTTAATAATGCTCCTCTAAAATATCCCTTAAATAATCCTTAATTGAATATTTATTAAAGACAGGCTCTAAATTTTAAGCAATTTAATACGTATTAGAATCTCCAAATGTAAATCTAGTTTTCAATCCTCCATATGCTTATCTAAGAGTAAGTAATCTTTCAATTCCAGCAAGTAATGTAAGACGATAAAAATTATCTGAAAATACTTCCCATGTTCTAGGCTCTTCATTAAATTATCTTTCAAATTTAGCTCTTGGACCTAAAAATCTATATAAATATAAATTTTATATTCTGATTACTTTTATTAATCTACTCTAACAACTTTTGCAAGCCAATCATGTCCTGGACCACCACCAACAAAATATTCAAGATCAACTAATTAAGGGTCTCTTAATATTTTATCAACAAAGGTCCAATTTGGACTATATAATAAACCACTTAACATTTTAATATCTAAAATAATTAATATTTAATCTTATATTATCGTATATATAAATATAAATAAAATTCATATATATTGTATTACTATTTCTAACACATATCCTATTTGAATAAATCCAATAAATTAGAATAAANACTTCCTATTTGATGTTTGTATTAATTGAGGAATTCATCCAAAGTTCTTGATTGTGCAGTTGATGAATAGAGTGCATATAATTTATAATGGAAGAAATCAGTCAACAACAAGAATGGAATAACTCCTCTATAGATACTAAAAGGTGTTTTTTATGCAAATAAATTAGCAGCTATTCTACCTTTTTAATTAGTTTATTAGAAACTTAAATCAGTACTTGCTAATTATAATCTTGTTTTGATAGTTAAGAATCCATAACCAATAGCTAATAAAGGTGTAGAAATTAACTAATAAATTAGAATATATATTTATTTACTTATGAAAGATAATCTTATTCATAGACATTTCTAAGATGATAGATCAAAGTACCATTGAATGCCAATTTGAATACAATTCCTCTATAGAAATGACTAAATCCATTTCGAGCATAAACCTATAGATTAAATTGATATAGATTACTTATTCAATAACATCAAATGCTCCTTTATATCTTCCTTAGATATCAGAATATATAATTGTTTTTATGGTATCAATAGGATAAGTTATAAGTTCAAATAATGATGAATATAGATAATGAGAAGTATATCCATTACCTCTACTATATACTAATGGATGTGCCCATACTGTCAAAAATTAGAATGCATTTAATAATGCTCCTCTAAAATATCCCTTAAATAATCCTTAATTGAATATTTATTAAAGACAGGCTCTAAATTTTAAGCAATTTAATACGTATTAGAATCTCCAAATGTAAATCTAGTTTTCAATCCTCCATATGCTTATCTAAGAGTAAGTAATCTTTCAATTCCAGCAAGTAATGTAAGACGATAAAAATTATCTGAAAATACTTCCCATGTTCTAGGCTCTTCATTAAATTATCTTTCAAATTTAGCTCTTGGACCTAAAAATCTATATAAATATAAATTTTATATTCTGATTACTTTTATTAATCTACTCTAACAACTTTTGCAAGCCAATCATGTCCTGGACCACCACCAACAAAATATTCAAGATCAACTAATTAAGGGTCTCTTAATATTTTATCAACAAAGGTCCAATTTGGACTATATAATAAACCACTTAACATTTTAATATCTAAAATAATTAATATTTAATCTTATATTATCGTATATATAAATATAAATAAAATTCATATATATTGTATTACTATTTCTAACACATATCCTATTTGAATAAATCCAATAAATTAGAATAAATAAGGAAACTCTATATTATTTTTTAATTCATGAATAATTTCTTATATTAATTTTATAATTAATTTTGATTATGTCCAACAGAAATAAAAAATCTAAGAGTCCTTAATTATAACAGCCTAAAAATATTGATAAAGATCTCATGAAATATCTCATATATCAAAAGATTGTTAAACCATAAGCTCCTTTAGAATTAATTACTAAGACTTAGCCTGATGAGGATTCTGAAGTTGAAGATTTCAAATTAGAAATAGAAATGAAGTATTAATGAATTCCATTTAATTTTAGATTTAAGAATTGCAAAATAAATAAAACTTTCAAATTTCCTAAAGAAAACTATGAATCTTCATCTGATACCTCATTGCAATCTTTAAAGGATATTACCATATATAATCTAAATTGTGATAATATAGATCGATTAACTGATGCTACATAACCAAATTTTATGAAAGCATTAAATGAAAGACTTATGAAATTAACTGATCTCATTGTTGATGAATCATCCACTAAAACTAAATAATTTAACTATGCACCAAATTTAAAATCCTCTAGGTTATTAATTGTAATAATATAGAATGTAGAAACTTAGAGGAGGAACTAATATTTCTAATACTTCTATTACTAAACCTACAGAATTATCTTTAAATGCTGCTAGTTAAAGTCAAGGAAGAGAAAGTGTTATTACTAAACCTCCATCTAATCTAGGCTTTAGAGCTACACCAACACTCTCTTCTGAAAAAAAAAATAGATCTAAATAAATTCAATAAATCTTAAAAATCACTTAATAAAAATATATGAATAATCAAAAGTAATTATATTATGATTTTATAGCATAGGTGGAACATTTTATAAGAAAACACCTTAAATAAATAATAACTATATCAACATTAATTCTAATATCAATAATAGTATTGTTGTTACAGGCAAACGTAATATTTAAGATATTCGAATTAAAACTGAATAAGATGAATCTGAACCTAGTTTACATCAATACTAAGTTGTTCCTAATTCTAGGTAATTGTTTATTTTCCATTTAGACCTAAAATGAGGGAATCTACTTTAAAAGGTAAAAAATTAGATATTTCAATTGGTCATAAAAATCTTACCTTAGATAGTCAATATCTAGAAAATTATAGTCGAAATGCTAAAAGTTAAAATAAAAATTATAAGGTTTGATTTTTTAATATAATAATTATATAATTTATTCGTTTTTTGTTTAAGTGTCCATGATATTGAATAATATCTCAAGAGATGAGGAACAATAATCATTTGTTAGTCTCAACTATAGAGATTAAATTGCAGAAACATAAACAAATTTGAAATAACAAATTACATATTTGCCATCTATGTATGCATCAATGTCAATCATCGTTCTTTTTGCAGCTATTTTAAGTCAATTTCAATATCCAAGAGCATAAACCTTTCCTTTGTTTTTAGAGTTACCATTTTAAAAGAATTAATTATTTACAGTATAATACTTTATAACTCTCATTTTTAGATTGGTAATGCATTGATAAGTTTGATTGGCATCCTTATTTATTATTTAGTTTATTAAGCAAATCAATAACTTCCAAAAAAAAAAAGATTTACTTTAAAATATACTTATTCAAAGCCTTTTTCATTTTAGATCTTTCTTAGTGGAGTTTCAGCTCATCTAGCATTTTTAGCTTTTGCATTACTTCCAATAGAATAAAAAAATCAAACCAATTTTCTCTGTATCTTATATTACAATAAATATTTCTATTATTATTCTAGATACTGAAGATAGAATTCTATTAACTTTCTCCTTTGTTATGAATTTCCTCTTTACTAGTTATTATATGTGTTATAAGTAGAATTAATAATCTTTGAAATTTTCGGATAAATTAAAACAGTACTCATTAAGTTAGTAAATAAAGGCTGCTTTATTTACTGTGATTTGCTTTTTATTTACTGCTTGTAAATCTAGAATTATATACTTAGTTGTATCTGTTAATTTTATTAGTTTATTTATGGGTATGCCTATGGCTCAAGGAGAACCTAATTTAAATGATGGTCTTAGTGCATCTGAAGATTTTATAGCTAATATGGTTAGTGAAATTTATTCAACCTTGTCTTATAGTCTTTATTTAATGAATTCATTTTTTATTGGAATGTTTTATATTGATCTTAAGAAGGTAAATTGTATAATAGTAAATTAATTTAGATTAATTTGGTAATGACAACTGATTAAGAAATAGTATTAGGAAGAAATGAAAAATCGATATGATTAAATGAGTAATTATTTTATCAATTTAATTATATATGTTTCCCATAAAAACGGATTTATAATTAATATTATATGAAAACATTCATTGCATTGTCTCTTTTGTATTTGACATTAGCCAAGTATAAACAATAATCATACTAAGCTAAGGAATATTGTCAACAATTGGAGATCAGATTCATCCATATTAATAAGTGATAGTAGCATTATCAGAAGTGGCATCCAAAGATTTCAATTTCTAATAATTGTTTGTTGCTTTAGATGAATTAGCTGAATCATTTAAGACTAGAAAAAATGAAGAAAATGCATTTTACGAACAAGAATATTAACAATATTAAGCAGATGTACAATACTATTAAAATTAAATTACAGACTTTAAAAATAAGGTATGAATATGTATGTAAATTTTGGTAAGATTGCCTAATTAGAGGTTGATGTAAAAGATTTGAGTGATGAAAGAGTTAGATTATAATAAATGTTAACAGAAGCCAAATAAGATTTATATGATGCTACAAAATTGTTGAATGCAAAAGAAGCATAAATAAATTCAGATAAATCTACATTTGACAGATAATTCAATGAATATGCAGATACTATTGCAGTATTAGATTAAGCAATAGCATTATTAAATGAAGTCAAAGATGAAACATCTTTATTATAAAAAGCAGATAATCTCAAAGAAATATCATCAAAGATGCACACTCAGTATTAATTAAGGTTAACGTTAGTTTGAAATAACTTTCATCTAAGAGAGTATTTTATCAACCATTAGTAAAGGCACTCACTTAAATTGCATAGAATAATTATGTAGATTAAGAGAATCTCAACAAAGTTATCAATTATATGAATTAATTAAGATAATCATTAATTGAAGGATAAACATCTTTATAAAATTAATACGAAGCTTAATCTAATTTATAAAAAGATATTTTATCAGAAATCTAAGCAAAAATAACTGGTATAAGAGATGTCTTAATTCCTATGTTGTAATCTGAGATTGAAACTAAAGATGGTGAAATTAAAGCACTTAATGCAATTCTTAATGATGCAAGACTTAATTTATCTGAAGCTGAAGATAATCTTAATGCAACATAAAATAGATGGATTGAAAGGTATTCATTTAATTTTAATATTTTTATTTTAGAACTGCATCACATAACTCCTTAATTTAATAATATGATAATGAATTATTAGCTATTAAAGATGCTGAAAATGCCTTAAAAAAAGGAGGTATATTTAGATAATGATGAAAAATATTATTGGTCTAAAAATATTCATATATTTATTAATAAATTTCGTTAAAATTACAATGTTATATTCTATTCGTGAGAGTGAAGCTGAAGGCAATATATCTACAGATTCATATACAGCAAACAAATCTCTTAATTATGATACTATTTTCACAAAAAAGAGTTCCAGTCGATCTCTACCAAAAACATAAAAAGATTTTGATGAAGAAATATAAATTTTGAATGATGTTATAATTTAATTGAGAAAGGTAGAACAAATACTTCTCAATCAAATTAAAGATCTTAAAAGTTAATTAGAAGAACAATACAAACATTCAAATAAACATCAAGAATATATAGATGAATTAAATAAAGAATTAAATAAATTATCTAATAAATTACATCATGAAATAATGAATAATAGTTAATAATAAAAAACTAATATTGAATTACAAAAGTCCATTCTTAAATTAGAATAAGATTTAATTACAAGTAATTAAAAAAATTAAGATATTTCAGAAGAATTGCAAAAAATAAAGTAATATTATATTAAGGAAGATCTAAATATTCCCATGAACATAAATTTGTTGAATCTTTATTACATATGGTGATGAGTTGCCATCCTGATAATTCTTTTAGAGAATAACCATCACTTAAGTAAGCCTGGAAATGGTTGAAATCAATTCTTTCCGATTATTTGACACTCAAAAAATAAAATTTAAACTATTAAGAAGGCTCTAGTCAAAGCTCAAGTTCAACTAATAAATGAAATATAAACAATAATTTTTCCATTAGTTTATTATTTCATCAATAATAACTATCAATATTAATAACATCATATTATAATTAGGTTTATAAAATTTAATAATTATAATATGACTACTCTTCAGTTCTTAATCAAAAATTATTTAGGATTTTTATTTTAAATATAAATTATTATATAATCAATCAGATTCAAATTAACTTACTTATCATTATCCATAATACCAAAAACTAATAATATAATTATAATACTTACAAACCTTAAAATAGTCATAGATTTACTGAATATTAAGCAGTTGAACACATATAATAATAAAATGGATATATTTTTAAAAACACATATGCCCAAGGCAATATTTATTGCTCCTATAACGATGTATGATAAAATCTAATTAATAAAAGGTTAAACTATGACAAAAATTTCTCCTACAAGAAAATATTGTATTGAAACATAGTAGAAATATCATATTCGATATGAAATTATATCAATCTATTTAATTTAATTTCCTTCCTATTATAATTTTTCAAAAGTTATTATATTAAAAAAAAATTTAAATAGAAAATATGATCATATGAAAGTAATTATATTATATTATATTATAATTGGAAGTCAAATATTTAAAAATTTGAATTGATATTTTTGGAGATAGCCATATACTCAAGCTATTGAACCATATATATGAGAATTTGACTCTCTTTATTTTTTTAGTTTTATTGCATTGTTCAAATCTTTAGCTAAGTAAAACTTCATTCTTTATTTTTTAATTCTTTCTTAAATATCTTTTTCTGATTTGAAAAAATTATTCATTTTAGATACAGTATTTTTAGTTAATTGATTTTCTTTACATGATTCTTGAATTATAAATTATAATCTATCGTTAGATGAGTCTTGATGATTAATTTATGTAGGCATAATTTCATATTAATTTTTTTATAAAGTAGATGCTCGACGGCTAAATATACTATATTCTTATGATTATGGTCTAAAGGCTTAACTATGATTACGAGAAGCCATTCGACTATATTTGGTAGAATAATCTATAGGCTATTCATCTAATTAAGTTTTAAAATAACATTATAAATTTATGTTCTAATATTCTCTTTATTGATTTTAATTTTATATTTTAGTTTCCTATTAATTTTCTGTTTAAAATGCTGTTTAAATAATTTCCTGCATATCTGTAATAGTTTCTTTTTTTTGTTATGTTTTTTATGTAAAATATTCTTAGAAATTCAATAACTGTTCATCATAACTCATTTTAATTTTATTCATTTCAATAATTTCAGATAATTGCTTCAATCTTGATTGGTCACAGATTTAATTTCTAAGTTTTTATGACCATAACTCATTAACAAAAATTCCTCCACTATTCTTTTTATTTTTATGTAGATAGGTATCACTTACTTTATTATTTGAAATTTAACTTAATATATCTTTATAATCCGCATTAGTCTAAATTATATTGACAGTATTAGAGGAAGTATTTTATAATTACAAATAATATTGTTCAAGCTAAGAATTTTTTGTAAAAATCTCATATGTCTTTTTTCTACTCTACAATTTAGAATTCTTAATAATTTAAGGAATCTAAAACAAATATTTGAACTTGTATTTACTGTTTCCAACAGTTTATTTAAGTTCCTCTTTTAATTTGTTTCTATTTTCTTCTGTTACAGTATTTAACTAAGTTTTCTCTAATGATTTGTTTTTTGGATTATTCAATCGATTTAAAAATTTAGTATTCTTATTTGACTAACCTAATTTTTATAGTTCATCATCCTCATCAAAGATCAAATTATCATAGCTATTCTTTTAGTTACTCATTTAATTATAATTTATATGTTATTAACAATTTAAACATAATAAAACAAATTATTCACTTTATTTTTCTATTTGGTTTATTTACTAGTAACTTTGATTTCTTTAATCCAAGAATCTTTTATTTTTATTTTTATTTCTTAATTTTCTTATTCTCAATAGTTTTAAATTTAGATTGGTAATCTACTTCATCATATTCTTATTTAATTTCTATTGATTATTATTCTTATTTCAATTTTTATTATTCTTTTTTTAATTTATTTAGTTTGTGATTCTCGAACATTTTATCTAAATATGATAATTTAATAGTGTGTCTTCTCATTCCAGCAAATCTTGCTTTTGCTTCTCTTCCATTTTAAATAGTCCAAATTTTTTCTTATTATTTTTCAATTTCAATTTCTTTATATTCTGAACAATAAAAATTGACTGCTGTTAATCTTTAAGATAAATTAATAGCCAAAGGTATTCTTACATTTTCTGTATGATACACTCTAAAATAATAAATAATAAAAAACCTTAAAAAACGATCTATGCTAACTGTGTATATATAATCTTTATTAAATGTAACATCTCTAACAGCTCCAAAAGTACCTTTAATCATTCTTTCAAATTTAAAATCATTCTAATAAATTAAAATTTCTCCTCTTTCATTTATCATATAATATTTTTGATTATAAGCCCTTATTAGTGTAACTTTGGTTTTTGAATGTTTTAATGAATGTTCTGCAATAGGTTAAGATTTTTATTAGAGAATATTATAAATTCTTAATGTCTTATGGGTTGTAATAACTCCTACAGAATAATCATCTAAGAATAATCCATCATAATCATGCATTTTAACTTAAAGATCTAATTCATCATTTTTAACATTTCTTGATTACCATTATAATTATTTTAATTTTAAGTTAAAAATAGATGGTGGAGCTCCAAAATATGTTATCAATAATAATGAGTAATCACTTGAAATAGCAGCAGATGTTACATATTTATCTTTACAATTATTTAAGGGCAAAAAATCATTAGAGTTTAATGTTTTTTATTAAAGAAATATGTTTTGATCTTAATCATATTTAATATGATTTATTTTTCTGTTTCCATAAATTATATATATATCATGATTTGAATCACAAAAACCTTTCAAAGGTGATGAATCAATGTTGATTTAAGTAATTTCATTTAATTCATTGTCTAATAATACTAAACTTTACTCTCTCAATACCAAGAAAAAACTAATATCTGATATTTATAGTGTTAGAATTTAGATAACTTTGAACTCCTTTCCTTATTCTCCATATTTCTTTATCACATCTTTTTTCTCTAAATCAATTAATTTCAATAATCCTGTTTCATCACCAGTAATTATTTACATTAAATTTAATATAAAAACTATACAACCTTTTATTCATTAATATTATCAAATAATATATTCTCAATTCAATATTATTCATTTACATTTTAATCTCAAAATTTTGAACCCTAATCAAGATTTTCACTTTTTTGACTTATCAAAAATATGACATTCAAAATTTTAGATTTTTTAATATAATTTTCTTCTTCTCTTTTAAGGCTAAATAGGTCTAACGAATCTATTTATAAATCTTTGGATTGTGAATTTATATTTTTAATGAAATTCCAAAACCCAACAAATATACCAAAGAATTCTATATAACTTTGATAATAATATATAAAATTAATATCAAAACAGAATGATGAATTCATTAAAGAAAAATATAGAGAATCTATACCCATAATTTACAATGGTAGAAGTGTTACGATATAATAAATTCAAAAAAACAATTTTGCTTAAAAGGGTTAATAAACCTTACATCTTGAGATTATTCAGTTTAGAAGGAGTTAATAAAGATAAAGTAACTTCTCTAATATAATTAATTAATAAACTATCAAAGACAAGCAATCCTCATTTTGTTAAATTTTATGAAGCCACTCATTATTCAGATAATACTTATTTAGGGTATTTTAATAAATAATTTAATAGAGTAATTAGTTAATTTATTGATACATAATATTAATGTCCCTTGAATGAATAAGAAATTCTTAATATACTAATTTAGGTATAATAAATTTTTAAATTATTAGGTTTGTTCAGCATTTGAATTATTTCATCCTAAACATCCTCATGGAAAAATAAGTTTATCAAATCTATTTTGTTCTTAAAAGACTACTATATTGGGAGATATGAATATTTTATATTATCTTCATTAAGAAAACTATTAAGATATATATTTATTGGCTCCAGAATTTGTAAAATAAAAAATTTATGATTGTAAATCTGATATTTGGATGCTTGGAGTTTTAGTTTATTAAATGATGTTTAAGGAATAAGCTTTTAAAGCCAATAATTTAAATGTGTTACATAAATAAATACAAAAAGGAATTAAATTCATATATAATCCATAATATAGTCTAAATTTAAATAATTTTTTAAGAATATTGCTCTGTTATGATCCTGAACTAAGACCATCTATAAATTCAATTAAATATTTTGCTGAATAGGCATTGATAAGCTCCAAACAGTTTGACATTTTCTAAATCTTACCAAAATATAAAATTGATTAAATTGCATTACAAAAAAAGAAAAAAGAATTAAAACATATAGTGAGAGACAATTAGATTTATTTAAATGAGCAAACTTTGAAATATCCATCATTTAAACCTTCTAAGATCTTAAAAACTGAAAAAAAAATTTAATTGATTAATCCAACTCCTAAACATTCAGGGGATAAATCACATTATATTGATTGTTCTTTGGATATATAATAATAATTTCCAACATTGTAATTAGAATAAATAGAGACTAAAAAGAGCTAATCTTTTGTTGAAAAATATTCTCAATCATCGAAAAAACTTAATTAATCTTAAATCTATTAATAGTAACAAAAAATAAATTAGAAACACCTTTATCCTGTTTAATTACCAAAAGTGTTATAATATTCATTTAGTAAAATAAAATTTGAACATGAGTTAAGCCCTACAAAATAACATAATGAAACAGATTAGTACAATAATTAATATTTTTAGTTAGGATGAATGTACAAAAAATAGATAAAATAAATATTCAGATAAAAATATAGAATAAAAAACTAGGAAATCGAATCCAAAAATGTCATTCCATTTAAACATAGAATCAGCTCAAAGATCTTTCAGTTAACGATTATGAATTTTATTATTATGTATTTTACTTAAAAGATATAATGATTTTTTATATGTTTTTGTTCTAAGTATTTAAAAAAGAAAAATAATAATTATAAATTGGTAGAAATTAAATTTATAATAGAGATAATGATAATATATTAAATTTTCGAAAAGCATTTATTGAAATATAAATTAAATATTTAATTAAATAATTAACACATGATTTAAGCTGATTTAGATTCAAGTAGAAGAGTGGCATACTTTTATAATAGATTAATAGGAAAATTTCATTATGGTAAGGAGCATCCAATGAAACCAAAACGTATAGCAATGGCTCATAGCTTAATAGTAAATTTTGGGTAGTTGAGAATATATATAAAGATAGATTATATAGATCACTAGATGTATATTTGATAAGAGAAGCATAATTAGAAGAGTTAAATAAATTTCATGATCCTGAATTCGTTGCCTATTTAAGTTAGTATATGAGTGAAAATAAGGTAAATTTTGTAAAGGAATATTGTTCAACAAATTATGATGGTGTAATACCTGAGAATTTGTTGGAAGAGTTTAGATTAATAACTAGATGGAGATAAAGTAAGAGTAGTAAAAATCTGAATTCTGATATAAAGTAGGAGATTCAGCAGATAATCCTACTTTTTCAGGACTATTTTCTTATTGTTAATTTAGTGCAGGCGCAAGTATAGATTGTGCACATACAATATTAACAAGATAGGCAGATATAGCAATAAATTGGTCTGGTGGATTACACCATGCTAAAAAGAAGGAGGCTGCTGGATTTTGTTATATAAATGATATAGTTTTGTGCATACTAGAATAACTAAGAATATATGTTAGAATATTGTATGTAGATATTGATTGTCATCATGGAGATGGAGTAGAAGTAGCATTTTATTTAACAAATAGAGTAATGACTCTTTCATTTCATTAATATGGAGATGATTTCTTTCCAGGAACAGGATAATTAAATTAAGTAGGATTAGGAGTAGGAAAATATTATGCCGTTAATGTACCATTAAAACCAGGAATATCTGATCAACCTTATTTAGAATTATTTAAAAAAGTAACTAGTAGAGTGATGGAAACATTTCGTCCTGATTGTGTTGTTATGTAATGTGGTACTGATTCATTAATCGTTTAGGAGCTTTAAATTTATCTATTAAGTAAAATTGAATATAAAATTTAAGGGGTCATGGATAATGTATAACTTACATGAAATAATTTGGAGTTCCATTAATTCTATTAGGAGGAGGAGGTTATACAATTTAAAATTTATCTAGATGTTGGTCTTATGAAACAGGAGTATGTCTAGGACAAAATATTGATGAAGTAATAAATTCATTAAATATAGCCTATTCCTGTTCATGATATATTACAATAATTATTTAGGAGATTATCATTTACATTTTCCAATCTAAGAAAATGTAGAAAATAAAAACAAGGTTGAAGACTTAAACAAAATTGTATCATAGGTTTATGATCATCTCAAAAATTTAGAAAATTCACCTGGAATTCATTTTCATTATGTCCCCTATTCATTCTACCCAAATATGGATTTAGAAAATGATGAAGATGATTAAATAAGTATAGATGATATCTACTACTAGAAATGGATTAAAAATAAGAAATATCTTTAGGTGAATTGGAATAAGAATTAG